GCACCTTGAAGTGCTGACAAATTAAGCATTAAGATGATGTAGTTTGCTAAAAAGATAACTCATGAAACCTGCTACTGTAGAGAGCTGCAGGTTCAGACAGTGGAGGCAGGAAAAGCAAGATTGTTTTGAAAATAGAAAATATAACCACTGGTTATACGTATTTGGTACCAATTGGTACAGTTCCAGTACTGCAGGGTGCTAGTGCCCTGAGGTTTAATCCTGACACATTTTTGATGTGTGAAAACTCTGAAGATTCATTTTCACATAAAATAAGAAATGTTTTTAAGCTGCCCTGCTTATACATACATGACATTGGAGCAAAGTATAAGTAGAATTTATGTGATTACAGGTTTCCATCTTGACACAGCACCTTACAAGGTTCAGGGGCTGGTTCTTCTCAGTCAGACTACTGCCCTGTTTCTGACATCAAACATGCTGTTGGAATATTGAAGTCAACCTCCCATTCTTAAGTATTTTGGGATATTATTTGGAACTTATTCTAGGTGAAAAGGCTGAGTTCACATGATGAGTTTACCTGTGATTAATCTAGCTATGACTTATTCAATTAACCCAACTTTCTAGGCTTATACAGCACAGCATTTATACCTGTTGAGTTCACCCAACACGCTAATTTGTGATTATATGTCATGTGAGCATAGCTCAAGAGATGTTAATGTTTACACTAACTTCAGGAACATGTCTAATTATAATTTCACCTCCAAATTTATACAGTCTTCCCATATTGAAAAGAACCCAGCTAATATATTGCATAAGAGATGCAATATATCGTATATTAGATAAAAACAATTGATCCAAAAATAAGAAGCAATCACTTTAGTCACAAGGATTCTTGGATAGTAAAGGGTTGTTGTTTTTTGTTTTTGCTAATTAACATTCACACATTTCACTAATGCGACATGTGATTTGTACTTCTGGTATATGAACATATAACAGCATACAGTATTGTGTGACCCTAGCCAGTTGTAGTTAAATTAACAAACTACTATTAAACAAATGGTGGCTTAGCTTAAGTAACAAAAGGAAAATGAGATATCTTAGACTTTGGAATCAATATATTATGTAAGAATAAAATACACCCAGGATTTTACAATTGGGCTGTAATTGAAAAAGCTGAAGCCCTCTGAGGTCTGTTGCGACAATCTTCCAAAATATTTTAAGGGTGAAATCACTGCTATTCTGCAATCTCTGTGAAGGTCCACACTACATTATCTGGTCTAGTTTTAGTTGTTTGAGTGTAAAGTATAGGTATCTTGTTTATAGGAGCTCAGATGTTCAATGGCATATTTTAGTCTTTCTTTTTTATCCTTTTACTCTTATCTGCCTTGGTTTTTAACAGCAAGCTAAGGGACCTAATAGGTGGCTTGTATTTTGCCTATGGAGATTTTCACTCATCCAGGTCATGGTTGTCCTAAAGGTACTTTTTCAAAAGGCAACTGGACTTTGTTTTTCCTTGAAGTTGTTTCACTTCTCATCCAAGAAGCTTCTTCAGTTCTGACTGAATAGTGGAGGATGGAAGGATTTAAATTCCTTGCAGTCATCTGGTTGTTAGCACTCTTCTGACAGTCCTTGAGGCTCTTTGGAGGTTTATCTGTGCCTTCAAGGTCACCTGAATAGTGCAAATGGATGTGGAACCTTCTTGGAACTGCTGAAAGGACTGTGTTGTAAACAGGATATGGGTGGTGTTATATCCCTGTTGAAGACGAATGTTCATTCTTAATGTAGATGGCCTCTTTGATTCTCTTTCAAGCCAGTGGTCCTCTCTGTCCAGAATGTGGACTTTGCTGTCTTCAAAATAATGACCTTTGTCTTTCAAAAGCAGATGGATTTCTGAATCTTGTCCTGATTGGTTTGTTCTCCTATGTGTTTGTGAAGTGGTTTGTATCAGGGGTGAAATGCTCCCGGTTTGGACCGGATCGTCCGATCTGATAGCAATGGTGGCAGGTGATTCGGAGAACCGGTAGCAAAAATCCCTCTGCCCCCCCCATGCCCAGCTGATCATCATAGGCTGTTTTTTTTTACTTTTAAAAGCATCATTTCTACAACTTCTTCGGCCGAAGAGGTTGTAGAAAAAATGCTTTTAAAAGTTTTTTAAAAAAGGTTGGCCATGCCCATCCAGTCACATTACCCCCCACCAAGCCACGCCCACAGAACCGTTAGTAACAAATTTTACATTTCACCATTGGTTTGTATTTTGATATCTCACTGTCTTTTGATGTCACCAGCAGTGGCATTTTGCTGAAGTGACTCTAAAGATGGACTATTTATTGCATATATACTGTTGGACATAGTGAGTCACATATTATAGTGGAACTTTTATTTTTATCCCATTTTTCTTTTATAAACATACATCCCACATTCCTATCTCATTTTATCCACAGAACAACCCAAGGAAAAAGATTGATCAAAGAGGTTGTTCCAAGCTCATCCTATGACCTTCTGGTTGAATAGAAGACTTAAATCTGGGTCTTCCTGATCCACTCTAATATATTAGCCATTGAATTATTTACTCACCTTGGGTTTTAGGGCCTTCCAGATCTGGGACTTTACCATCTTTGGTGCTCAAACAAACCCAGTGCATAACGTGTGGGGGGGTTCCTCCGGGATTTGCAACTCCTGCTCAAAGAGCAGAATCCTGACTACATTCTACCACAGGGAGCCAGTGGGACCCAGAAGGCATGCCTTTGCTGCCATAATGCCCACTTTATAGAACATGGATGTCAAACTCATGGTGTCACGTTGCCTTCACGTGATGTTTCACGATGTTTTTTCCATTCACGGAGCTGGGGTGGGCATGGCCTGCGTGTGACACATCCGGCCCACAAGCTGCTAGTTTGACACCCCTGTTATAGAACATCATCCTGCATGAAGTGAGACTGTTTCCATCCCTACTGATTTTTTGAAATCCCTCAAAATCTGGTTATGCCATCAGGCCTGGAGAAACCATGGGCCAGTCAGGTATTGAGGTAGCTCCAATACTGTTGACATCTGCTGTTCTCCTTAGCCTTTAAGCATGATTTTTAAAATTTTATGGAAAATAATTGATTTTTAAAACATATTACTGTTTTATAGTTTTATTGTACACTCATTAGATGGGTGGCCATATGAATCAATTAAAAAAAAAAACAGTGAGAATTTCCTTATTTGTCCAAGCACTGTAAACTGAAGGCACGCTTCACTGGTTTACTGTTTTGATATTCTGACTTGTATTTATTGGGACATTTTGTTGCTTTATATATAATAGTAAAGCTTTGTTTGTTTTTATGCCCCTTGTAACATACCTAGTATTCTGCAATAAATCAGATTAAAAGTAATTTGAATTCCAACAGACAAACAAATTTCCCCCCAGGATTTTCTGACAATTGCATTCCCACCCCTACCTTATCTTTTATCTATTCAGAAACTAAGTGAGGAGGACAATTTGAAACTTACTTTTGGATTTCCCCAAATATGCTAATCAGTCCACTGCCACTAAAATTTCTCCCATTGGTTCTTAGTCTTTTAAAAAAATTAATGGGTTTATTTTTCCTTTCTTGTTTCTTGTTTATAAGAAAACATATTTATAAAAACTAGATTCCTTTGGGAGATCACTAAAGGTAGATAATATAAAAGGAGGAGTTGCTAATCTATTTAAAGTTAATACACTCATCTTTATCTCTGATAACCTGGCTCTAGTTTTAGGTATTTTTTCCCATTCTTTGCTTGGAAAAATCTGTGATCTACAATTGTTTTGATATCTTTAAAACGGTATCCCTCCTACTGTAGCACTTCTCCACTCAAGGCATGAAATTTAAGGGGGTGTAATTTCATCCTCAGTTTGATGGGGTTATAAGACAACCACTTTTGTTCTCAGAAGGGTCCCCAGGATCTGAAATCTAAACTTTTATTCTATATTTCTCCCATATCCAGTTGACAAATACAACATAACCTCCAGGTTTGTTATAACAGGACTGAAATCCCTACACCGATGTCTCTGGCAGTTCTGACAAAGAACAGATTCCTCCTTAAGGATCTGATTCGGCTTAATACAGGATATTGAAGATAGAAAATTGTTTTGCCTTCCAGGTTTCTCCAACCAACATCCAACACTCAATCTGTTAGAGACAAATTCATTAACGCAATTAGGAAAGACAAATTGTCAGGATCTGCAAATTTAGCAACTAAAAATACATCACAATCAAGCAATAGGTGCAACTATAATGCCCAACGTAATATTTTTACTTGAAAAACGTTCTTTTCTTCAACAAACTGGGGCTCCCAAGTATAGTAACGGGGATTCTGCAAAGTTATTCGATCGAGGCTCTGCCTTGCCTCAGGTGGAAATTCAACACGAACAAGACGAGTCATCCATTTCCCCCTTCAGAACAATTAGCATCCCCAGAGAGAGAGAGAGAGAGAGAGAGAGAGAGAGAGAGAGAGAGAGAGAGACCCACAACTGAGGAGGAGGATTTTTATTTTATTTTATTTATTTCGTCAAGCACGCATTTTATGACAGATACAAGTGTAAACATAATTATAAATACATGTAAAGGATACGAATAAAAGAAAACATTAGGACAGGCCCGCCCCTTACAGACCTCTTAGGAATGAGGTGAGGTCTAGAGTAGACAGCCTAAGGTTAAAGTTTTGGGGATTTGAGGAAATGTAATGTGATGCTTAAGAAGACCGCCAAATTAAAAGGCGGCCTGGCATCTTGGACTGCGTTGGAATGGGCTGAAAGCTCTCGCTCAGCAGGCCCCTTGCTGAAGAACAAAGCTGTGCTGAAAACCGGGGAGCGGCCGAAGACGGAGAGCGGGAGGGGGACGGGACACCCTTCCCTGTCCGAGAGCCAGCGAAGGGGGCGTCCCCAAACAGCGGCTCTCTCTCCCCGCGCTGCTCCCGGCCAACTGCTGACGGAGGACGCGCCAATGAATCCCTCCGTCCCGAGATCATGTGCTTCCAGCCACCAGTGCGCTGCCAAAGAGGAAGTGCGGCTTGTTTTCGTTCGCTCGGTTCCTCTCCTGACGAAGATGAAAGGCGGCGGCGGCGGCGGCAGGAGCAGCAACAACAGGAGCCACTGTCGGCAAAGTTAAGCCCGAGCTCCGCCAGCCCGAATCCCGGGCGCCGATGGAGGCCCTGGAATGGGACGCGCTGAGGAACGGCAGCTTCCTGCCTACTCTGAGCCCGGCTGTGCCCCCGTACGTGAAGCTGGGTCTCACCGTCGCCTACACCGTCTTTTATTCGCTCCTCTTCCTGTTCATTTACATCCAGCTCTGGCTGGTCCTGCACTACCGGCACAAGCGGTTTAGCTATCAGACGGTCTTTTTATTTCTGTGCCTGCTCTGGGCTTCTCTTCGGACGGTGCTTTTCTCCTTTTATTTCAAGGACTTTGTCGCCGCCAATTCCCTCAGCCCCTTCGCCTTTTGGCTCCTCTATTGCTTCCCGGTGTGCCTCCAGTTTTTCACCCTGACGCTTATGAACCTTTACTTCACCCAGGTAAGGGAGGGACGGACGGACGGCCGTTCCCGCGCTCGGGTGGCCGGACTGGCGTGGTGCTACGGCAACAGATCGCACTTACGCGATGTTGTGCGAATATCTTACTTTAGACAATGTCAGGCGGGTTCGTATGTTAGTTAGAACCCCCGTTTATCGAAGCTATGAGGGTAATACCGGCCCGTAAAAGTGGACATTTGGAGGAGGAGCCCTAATTTGTAGACAGAGACAGTAGCAATAACAAAAAAACTTCTTACTCAGCCAATTGGACAGACCAGCTGATTTTACAAGGTTTCACAATACAGCATAATGCAGCAGGAAATCTGGATCTCAGTTGCTCTTGGGAGGGAGAGGAAAAATAAAATAAATCCAAGATTTCTGGCCATTTACTTTCAAGCAAGATTTCCATCAAGCTTTGTTTTATCCACTTGGGAATAACTCCTTCCTCTTTCTCCTCACCAAAAATTACATGGTTCACAAATGGATCTCTTTAATTTTATTTTCTTGTTGTTAAGTGAGTAGTGATGATTTTACATGCAAAGCAAATCTTTTCAATGATTTTACATGCAAAGCAAATCTTTTCTTGGACACGGGTGCAAAATTTTTAAATGGGATCAGGGAGATAGGAAGTCTCAAACTATTCTTAAGGATCCTTCAGTTAACAACATGCTCAGAGAGGCAGCAACCCTGTTTTGCAGTGGTGTGAGAATAATTGGAAACATTTCTGAAAGAAATGCATATTATACACTTTTAATGTTTGAAATACATCAAATAAATGTTAAGGAATATTGATGTTAAATTTAGTCTTTAGTAATAAACAGGCTTTACTGAGATTTTTTTTTTTTGAAACGAGAAGAAAAAAAGATTTAATGAAATTTTAAAGAAGTTAAGCAGAACATTATTTTAAAATAGGAAGTAGGGAGGGGTCTCATTGACTTCAGTGTTTTTTCAGCTTAATAGAAGGTTGATTGAAGTTTAGCTTCAGTGCTTCATATTATAATGATTTATAACTTTTATTGTGATTGTGAACTTGGACCAGAACCACTCATTAAAAATGATTTAATATTCACAAATATATCAGTCTTTCATTACATGCAAATGAGATAAAGTTTTACTACTATTTTAATACTATTGTATTGAAATAGTAAACAAGGACTTGCAAAAGTATTACATAGAAACCATTTAAGTTTTGGCATATTTTATTTCTTAGAGGCTAAATTGAAAGAATATAGTCAGGTTCACACATTGCATTAACAAATAGTTTGGCTACTGTTTAGTGAATAAGTAACAAGTATTTAAGGTAGAACAATTGCCAAAATCTATAGTACTATGTCAAACTGCTGTTCTTGCATGTTTATTTCACTCTAAATAATTCCCACTGAATATAATGGGAATTGATTCAGAGAAGCACATTTAAAATTGTGATTCAAGGTAAACATGTTTAAGATTTCATTCCACTTAACTATAGTCAAGAGATTCAGATAAACATCAGGTGACAAGTTTGGCTTGTAAGTCTGCCTGTTGCCACAGAGTACCCCTTTAACTATTTACACCTACATTGTCACATCAGACATGCATGGGCAAGTGTAAAAGGCAGGCGAGGAACACACACTCAGTCCAGAGGCAATCTTTATCCAAATGGAAAGACAGGTTGTGCCTCAGTGTGCCTTAAATCCAGCCTGCTTGGTGTGAACAAGTTACTAAATGTTAATAAAACTTAGGAAATACTTGCAAAACTGCTAAGAATTCTCTCTATACACACTGTTCGTTAATATGACAGAAGAAATACTTTAAAAGAGTCACTGAAATTATGCTAAGAAAGATGAATAATTAACAAATAGTTAATTGGCAGAAAAAGAGGCCGAGTCTTTCTTTCAATCTATAGTACTATGGACTATCTATAGACTTTTCCAATGTGGTGCTCCTGATGTGTTGGATTTCAAATCCCATAATTATTATACAAGTTTAAAACGGAATATTAGTCATTCTCGATTGACTCCTGTGACTTTATGGACACATCTATGTACGGTACTTTTCTTGGCAATGATATTGGAAATGGTTTGCCATCTCATTCTTTCACAGCACTTTTCAACTTCCCATTCTAGCCTACAGTTTCTGGGCTGCCGTGATAGTCTTCCCTTCCAATACTAACTAGGGCTGACCTGCTTAGCCCCCATGTCTAGACAAGATTGGTGAAGTGCTACAATCTATTGAGACAATGGTAATGGAAGTGTGGTAAGGAAGGAAGGAATGAAGAAAGGCTTTACTATGTTCTTGCCTTTCAACTCTTTCTTGCAATCTCTGCCTCTATGACTGTTTATCTTAGTTGGGTTTATTTTTAGATTTTGAGCCATGATGGGCAAAGCTTAGGAGGAAGAAGTTGTAGGAAAAAAGTAGTGGAAGACTGAATTGTATCCTTTTTGAATCTTGCTCTTTTCTCATAATAACAGATTAACAGAATAATAGAAGGAAGGGGCCTTGGAGGTTTTCTAGTCCTAGCTCAAGCAGGGGATTCTATACCATTTCAGGCAAACAGACAAAACTGACTGACTGAAGAAGTGGACAATATATTAAAAAATCCTGTGTGTATTACATATAATGTAGATCTACTTGGAAGCATTGTATTTTAAATAAATTCAATAAAGTCCCTCGCCAACAAAATACCGAGGAAGCATAAACCTGTTTCAAAACACTGGCTCAGTTCACTTCTGTATTCATACCCATATCCGTTCTACTTTAGGACTAGAATTTAGTTTACATGTTTTTCCACCTATATCAGGATTTCTGTTATCCAACGTATTGCACATTTTGTAGCATGCATTGTATTGTCTCTGTTCTATTATCCTTTTTTGTCTTTTGTATACAGTCTAATAGAAAATGAAGGGTGAGAACACTCTCTCTGTCATCTATGCAAATCATATGGTTGCATTTTGATGCTTGGCAAACAACTCACTTTTATGGCTGTTTGCAGTGTCCTGTGATCATGTGACAAGGATTTGTGATGTTTTTGCTGATTTCTGGTGTTTACTTCTAGTTTCTGGGCAACCCCCCCCCACCCCCATTGGAGAAAATGGATTTGTTTAACCAGCACTGCATTCACTTAATGACCACCACAAAAATATTGAAAAATCACATCCGGCCACATGCAGACTTATGACTGCAATAATTTATGACCATAATTCCAGGTTCAAATACCCTCCTAAATCAAGGACTATCTGTCCTTGGATAGGAGATCAACAGGGAATATCAGGGCTGTAGGCTAGGTTGAGAGATTGAAAAAACATCCTGGAAAAAAGCAATGGCAACTTACTTCTGGATTATTGCCAGGAAAACTGCATCAATCAAGATTAATCTGAGAATGTTTTGACCTTTAAATGAATACTGTTTTATCAAAGCCCTTCGTTCCGTATATGTTTGTACATGAATGTTATTCTGTGTTTTTATCCTTTTCTTTAAAGCATCCAGATAAAACTGTTCAGTTAAGTCTGATTTGAACATGATATGTGCAGCCAAAAATAATAATAATTGGTTGTGTTATACATCAGGTCTTGCTTGACTACAGCATATAGAAATTGGATCATAACGTACAAGTAGTCCTCAACTTACAGCAGCCTGTTTAGTGACTGTTCAAAGATACACTAGCAGTGAAAAAAGTTATAAACTTATGACCATTGTGGTATCACCGTGGTCATGTGATCAAAATTCAGATGCTTGGCAACTGATTCAAACTTATGACCATTGTGGTATCACCGTGGGTCATGTGATCAAAATTCAGATGCTTGGCAAATGATTCATACTTATGACCATTGCAGTGTCCTGGGGTCATGTGATCCCCTTTTGCAACCTTCTAACAAGCAATGTCAGTGGGGAAGCCAGATTCACTAAAGAACCGTATTACTAACTTAAAACTACAGTGATTCACTTAACAACTATAGCAAGAAAAGTCATAAAATGGGGCAAAGCTCACTTAACAAATGTCTCACTTAAGAACAGAAATGTTGGGCTCAATTGTGGTTGTAAGTCAAGGACTGCCTGTAAAGAAGTGCCCTCCATGGCATTATCCCTAGTTGTACTGGACTACAACTCTCATCATCCTTAAGCATATCACTTTTGAAGAGTTTCCTGTGCAAAGTTGGGAGATACTAATTATAGTTTAATCTCCATTTTTAGATTAGTAGAAACAAATGGAGATTTAGAGGACAATAAAAATATTGGACAGTATGATTACTGAATTGGAACATATGATACATTTGGAAAAGATTAGGAGGCAATGGAACAAAATATATTTAGAGAAAGATGCAGAATATGCTAGTCCCTTTTAAAGGATCTTTCACTTGAAATAAATGTTTTTTCCATGATTGTGAGGGATGTTTATCAAATCCAATAATACTATTTATGGCTCAGCCTTCCTACCGTTGCTAGGCTCTACCCCTGGACAAAGAATCATAGACATAGTTAGGCCAAAATCTACATGACTATACATCCCATCTCAAACTGACTTTTCCTATGACTCAGTCTTAGGCTAAATTCATACTGAAGAAATCTTCTGGAAAATCAGATCACCAATAGGATTGATAGGCTAGCATGAATTTCCACTCATCCATATCTAGAAATGCCTCTGCTTGGTGAATATTTCTTCAGTTTTCAAGTGGTTTTGAGGAGAGATGTAAGATGAGTTGCTAACACATCCATAAGGCTGAAGTTTCTGGTAAATTAAGTTGCTTAGGTTTGTGAGATACATGTTTGATGGTGGTATTTAAAGGAAAAGGAATTGCTGTTTCTTTGGCATATGGCAAGGAATAATACTACTCCATTATGAAATTTGTGTGTTGTGAATGAAGGAAGATAAGTTATTTGAAGGGTTACAGATGTTTTACTGCTTATAGTATTGTAACTGTAGCGCCAATTACTGTCATTTCAGTTTTCTTTCTCTACATCTCAGCAGTATCAGCTCCCAAGATGTGGAGTGAGAGGGTGGGGATTTCTGTTGCTACAAAGCTTGTAGCAGGAGAGGGATGAGATTTTTCCTTCTTATTCTCAGCCACCCATCAAGAAGTGAAGATAATCATGGCTCATCTTCAGATTGTTTCTGAAAATGTTGCCAGGATTCAGAAGTGTTCAACAATCAATTGTGCATGATAGCTATAGAAGCTATAATTTCCCCAAAGAACCATCCTAAAAACAGCTGGGGAAGGGAAGGGGATATTCAGGAAAATAGTATAACGGAGATGGGTTGAGAAGAACACACATGCAATAAAGGCGGATCAGAACACTCCAAGCCAAGCCAACTGATTGTAAAGATTGGCCCAAGATTGTAAAGATTATGTGACCCATCATATAATATTAAAAAAGAACTGAACATTTGTGACTTCTCTTTGTTTGATTCTTAGTAAGTTGTGAACTTGGAAATATTTTATTTTTATGTATTTATTATTATACTTCTATGCTGCCCATCTCATTGAGGCCACTCTAGGTGGTTTTAGTCATACAATTAAAATATCATGTAAAACATTAAAAATAAGAATCATACATTTAAAGTTAAAATTCAGTTAACCAGATGAAAAGGAAAGGAGCAAGGTGGGTATGGGAAGGAGGTAGGGTCTGACAAATCCATGTGCCTCCCCTCCCCTTTGGAGTTCCTGGCCATGTGGAAGTGTCAGGGCTTCAAACCCAGAATGAAGGTGCAGATCTCATCTGGGGGGGGGGGGAGAATTATTTAGTTCTTTTACTAACTGGGGGGGATGTCAGCTCCAGATTTAGCATTCAAGGATTTTGAGAAAAAGTGTTTTCTATATCACTCTGAACGTTCTTATTAAGCATGATTAATAATTATGAGTAATAGATTGACTGTTTGCTTCTGAAATTCATGACAGATCTAAGTAGTTTCAAGATATGTAGACTTCAACTCTAAAACTTCCTCAATCATTGATGAGATTTCTAGTAGCTGAAAGCTACAAACCTGAAGTGAGACCAGTTTGAGGAAGCTTGTGCTACAAAGATACATGGAAGGGAAACTGCAATTTCTGAGAATAAATTGAACATGGGAAATAAATAAAATTACATCATTACTCTTGTAGTGCCAAAGTTGTATATGTGGCCTATTTGAATATGCCCTGCTCCTACTTTTTCTATGTTATATAATGCAACTCTGAAAAAAGATTATGATGCCTTTGAGGGGTTATTTTTAAGGAAAGGTGAAATATTTCCTTTATTTAAAAAGAAATGAACAAGAGAGTACCCATCTGCCTGTGACTAACAGAATCTCCTCTAATAATAATAATAATAAAGCAATCTACAAGCAAAAAGCTAAAGATAGCGAAGTCCTAGGCAGTAGTCGGGAAGGGTCGATGACAATCATGAAAGCAAGCATTGGTGTTTTTCTGACCTGCATGAGCCTCATTTGCCCCATTGGCCATTTCTCTGATCTTAACGTGGGACAGCACCTGGTCTGAGAGATCATCAAGCAATCCCAGGGTGGTGGGCTGGACTGGAAAGTTGAAAAGCACTCCAGAGGAAGATAAGTGCCAAAAATAGCAAGAAATTAAATGGCTGAATCCAGGCAGTTCCTACAACATGAACTCAATCTGAGACAGGGTTTCCTATTTTAATCTTGGAGCATAAACAATCAGATCACCACAAAACTAATAGATAAGGTAGAACAGGAGTCCCCAACCCCTGGGCCCAGCCCCCTACCAGGCTGTGAGGTATTGAAAAGTGGGCCGCCCAAAGTGGCAGGTGAGCGCTTGCACATATGCATTCCCCCTTGTGCGAGCACTTGGTGAGCATGTGCACCCATGTGCTTGCCCATCACTTGTCCAGAACCATCCTCTCTCCCCCCTCCCCCACACCAGTCTGCAAAACTGGAAAGGTTGAGGAACTCTGGAGTAGAACAGAAGCACTACTACAGAATTGTTTCCTTTCAAAAGAACCTGCCCTTGAATGGATGATCATAGTTATTCTTTTTGCTTGGTTTCTCTGATTGTATACAAAACTACTTTAGCTTCTGCAGGGTTTTTTTTTTTGTCTAGGATAAGATACATATTTCCTGTAAATACACTGATGAATAAAATTTTACTGCCACATAGAAAATTGTCCATTTGCAAATCTGAAAGCAAGAGTGCAGGAGCTGCGCAATGGTTTTGCTACGTATGTGGCCAAGTCATCCATTTGAAATATAATGAACTCACAGTACAAGACAGTGCCAGCCCTACTATGCATTGCATGTTTAATAACACAGTCTCGTTTTCTTACAGGTGATTTTCAAAGCTAAATCTAAATACTCACCAGAATTACTTAAATACAGGTAAAAACATATTTCCACCATGAATGAAGGAAAAAAAAGCAGTTGCATACTATTGGGACATGTTTTATTTTATTTCTAGGAATACAAAACATGCCCATGTATTTCTGAGAAATAATTACTTTTATTAATTTATTTAGAGAATTTACAAAGCTGCCCATACTGTATATGCATAACCCTGGGCAGCTAACAACAGATACCCTAAAATACATAATAAGACCTCAAAACACAAATACAAACCAAGTTAAAAATAGATGAAATACAATAGCTGGGCACCATAAGAAACTTACACTTATATTGGGCTCATTACCATCCTAGTCAACTACCTGCAGGAAGAGTCAGGTATTCATAGCCTTCAGGAAGATTAAGTGGGTTTGGGCCTTCCAGATCTGGGGGCGGGGGAGGGGGGAGAGGCTGCTCCTTGATAGGCACCATGACTAAGAAAGCTTAATTACTTTTAAAAATTACAATTATATTTAATTTCTACTAATTTTCTGAGAAAATTTAGTTAAAATTCAGATACAGTGACTTGGTTTGTGCAAGCTACTGTGATTAGTCACTTTAGAAATGACAAGATACAGTCCAATGTATTCCTGAAAATTCAGTGATGGGAAATTTGGGTTATATATTATTTTATAATAGAGGGCATATTATGCATTTCTGGGAAAAACTGAGCAAAACCTTTTTCAAGCAGCCTGGAATCCCAACAGACCTGGAAGACACCAATTTGGGGAAGACTGATTTAGTATTGTATTAATATTTGCTAAAAATAATAATTGCAAAAATTAATACTATTTTCCCTCTCCTTGCTTAGGTTGCCCCTCTACTTGGTGTCTTTCGTGGTCAGTCTACTTTTCCTGCTGGTGAATTTAACATGTGCTGTGCTTGTGAAATTAGAAAATTCAGAAAGGAGGATAATTGTATTGGTCAGGGTTGCTATAAATGACACTCTGTTTGTACTCTGTGCCATCTCACTCTCCATTTGTCTCTACAAGATTTCCAAAATGACCTTAGCAAATATTTACTTGGAATCCAAGGTAAAGTACATCTTAGTTTTTTTGTGTTGTGTATGTGTTTTTGTTTAGTATGGGGAAATCATTCCAATGCAAATAAGTGAATGATATCTTGTTCAAGAATAGCAGGATTTTTCTTCAGTGTCTAATCAAATTAGTGGGGGTGAATCCAATTGATAGTTTATTCTATTTCTTTATAAAGTTATAAAATTTATGTTTGTAATCAGTTTAAAGGCAGTAGCAAACCACCTCTGAAAACATTGTAAAAAAAACCTGAATGGACTTGTCTATGTATTTGCCAGGGATCCCGACCAACTTGATGACACACAGATGCACATATCAATCTGAAATCAATCAATTACAGGTTTTACCTAATCAGCTAAAATTATTACATTCCATTTAAACAACTCTGAAAACCTCTAAATGTCCTGAGTAAAAATAAACCCTCTTTTAAACTTTAACAAAAGAAGGGCTTCATTGCCAATAGTCTTGTTCTATTATCTAGATCTAAGGAAAAAGCAAACTTAGTTGTTGTTAAATGATGGGATATTATGACCTTCTAAATTTCAGCTTATTGTAAAATATCAGAATTTTTTTTTCAGTTGGGTATCTAACAGCATTTTCATAATGGTTTTCTCCAAAACCAGATTGACATAGGAATATCCAGGACAACACTGTGTTATCTCAAATTCTTCGCAAGCAAACTTAAGCATATTCAACACACAACATGTACAGGTAGTCCTCGACTTACAACCACAACTGAGCCCAAAATTGCTCTTGTTATGTGAGACATTTGTTAAGTGAGTTTTGTCCCATTTTATGAACTTTCTTACCACAGTTAAGTGAATCATTGTAGCTGTTAAGCTAGTAACATGGTTGTAAAGCGAATCTAGCTTTGCTTGTCGGGTCACAAAAAGTGATCACATGACCTTGGGACACAGTAATGGTTTTATGTATGAACCAATTGTCAAGCATTTGAATTTTGATCACATGATCATTGAAATGCTGCAAAGGTCCGAAATGTGAAAAATGGTCATAAGTCACTTTATCAGTGCCATTGTAACTGAATGGTCACTAAATGAACTGTTGTAAATCGAGGACTACCTGTATTGAAAAAAAAATTATCTGAAAGAGCAACTGTTTTCCTGTGGATACTTTCTTGAGAATATGTTCTGCTTAGATTGTTCTGAAACAACATATAAACATGAATAGTAATCAGGAAATTTATTCTTTGAATTATAAACTTCACTTTGTCCAATATTGACAAACTGCATCTTCCATACCAATTTGTATAGTATTTGCTTTTTAAAAAATCACCAATTTGTCTATCATAGTAAATCAATGCAATGTAATCAAAGCTGCCAAAATAAAAAGAATCGTACTAAATCATTCCAAAGACCTAGCTCAGAAGTCAGCAATCTTTTAAAGTTGGTGGCATTATCATTTGATTTTTCATTACATTAAGGAAGCAAAAGATAGAACATTTTTCATGTTAAAAATGTTTTAAACATTCCGAATGCCCCAAATCTAGAATGTAGAGAGATTTTATGAGATCTGCATATGTCTCAACTTTTCAGCAATTTTGTCAGTGGGCAGCATATACTGGTATTTCAGATGCCATGATCTGGCATTTTCAATATCCTCTATCCAGTCAGATGACTGGAGGACCACAGTCTAAGACTTGGAACAATAATGAACTTCCATCTGTCCCTTCTCAGCAGCTGTAACCAAAGACTGTATTATCTTTCTCATTTCCATCACTGAAAATTTAATGAAGGAATAAGTGGACAAAAGAGGCTTTAAAACTGATTAAGCAGACTGCTTATATTCTTACTTGGAGTGAAGTCAGGCTCTTTCTCTTTTAACACTAAGAGTGCTATTGTTTATTCTTTGAGATTTTATTCTTTCCAAATGGTTTTATAAAGATAGAGAAAAAAGTGTCTTTTTTTCAAAGAAACCTTGGTTCCTTTTATTTTATAGGGGTTTTTTCCCCTCCCTCTCCAGGGATGATATAGGAGCTAATTGTCTTTGATTAAGGAAATTTAATCAAAGGAGCCTGTAGTACAGTGGACTAAAGCACTGTTATTAACATCTGCTGCTTGCAATTACTGCAAGTTCAAATCTCACCAGGCTCAAGGTTGACTCAGCCTTCCATCCTTTCAAAGGTAGGTAAAATGAGGACCCAGATTGTGGGGGCAATAAGCTGACTTTGTATAAATATACAAAAGTATGAAGGCTATTGCTTAACGCATTGTAAGCCGCCCTGAGTCTCCGGAGAAGGGCGGCATATAAATTAAAGCAAAAAAAAAAAAAATTCCTTTAAGTTATCTCCCTATCCTTTATATTGTAGTATTCTGTTATTAGAAATGCTCTAATTTATGCCCTATTGGTAGTTCTACTGCAACTGTTTTATGAACACGATTTTGCAACTGTTATGATTACCTTGTTGGACAGTGTAATGATTTGTAAGATTGCATCTGTTGTATTTTATAAATTACATTTAAAAAAGATGCTGAACATTTTCCAGGTGTCCAACAGATATGCATAATAACTTGTATAATTCCTGACTAGCAGGTTAATATCATATCTATTCTCCTGCTTTAGAAAATGCAGACTGAATTATTTTCAGACCATAAAATTTTTTCTGAATTACGTAACTTCTTTTTCCACTATGATGTGATATATTTTTTCCCATTGTGGAACATTAAATAGACAATCTTTTATTGTTTTTTTCCTTCTACCCTGCCCCACCAAAAAAACATGGCTTTCTCTTTTCCAAGGAAATATATTGTAAGGTATCAGCACTTTTTAGATTCCAGCACAATGCTTAGGATGGTCCAAAATGACTTGAGATTTGACTACAAATTTTCTCTCAAACTAGAACCTTGAACATTTTAGTGATCAGTAGACAAGTGTGTTTTAATATCTGTGTTTTAATATCTTCTCTAGGGATCATCAGTATGCCAGTTAACAACAATAGGAGCAACTGTTATACTACTGTATACCTCAAGAGCCTGTTACAACCTGGTTATTTTATCATTTTCTCAAAATAAGGCAATGAACTCTTTTGATTATGATTGGTACAATGTATCTGATCAGGCAAGTACTATGTAGCAATTTCTTCTGACAATACAATGTTTGTTTAGATACCAATACTTAAGGGTGTAAAAGTAAGCATCCTTCCTCCCCGCTCCCACATCATTGCAGTTACCAACTCAAGATCTTTTAATTACATATGTCAAGAAAAAAAAATTACAAGACTACTTGGCATCATTTTCATAAAAATGAGAATGGAACCTTCAGTGGAGAATTGAAGGAAATGTTTATATGTGACTGAACAGTCATAGTCTAAAAGGTAAAGGTAAAGTTCCTCTCGCACATATGTGCTAGTTGTTCCCAAATCTAGGGAGCGGTGCTCATCTCTGTTTCAAAGCCAAAGAGCCAGCGCTGTCATGTGGCCGGCATGACTAAACGCCAAAGGTGCACAGAACGCTGTTACCTTCCCACCAAAGGTGGTCCCTATTTTTCTACTTGCATTTTTTACGTGCTTTCAAACTGCTAGGTTGGCAGAAGCTGGGACAAGTAATGGGAGCTCTCCCCGTTACGCAACACTAGGGATTCGAACCGCTGAACTGCCAACCTTTCAATCGACAAGCTCAGCATCTTAGCCACTGAGCCACCACATCCCTATTAGTCATAGTCTGGAGTATGTTAAAACCAGGAAAGCCATAAGTCACTTTGCCCTTTGCAAAAAAAATAATGATTTACTTTGAGAAAATCGTAATGGGCGGAATTGAATGTTAGCCTTATTGTAATTTTAATGGGGTATTGTATGCCAACAATACTTTAGCCAAGGAGAATTTTAAATTTCATTCAGTTTAGCTTTGTGATGAAAATTTTACAATATATCAGATAAACCAATGGGAACATTTCCTAATCTGGATTAACAGATTAGAAGAAAGGGGATTGTGTAACAAGAAGAGTTAATCCTGTTATTTATTTTAAAATGTATTTAAATGTGGCATGCTTTCAAGTGATTCATATGTAGATTACCTATGTGTTAGTCAATCTGATTGATTCTGGATTAAATCAGTGTATCCATGATTGATTCAGGCTACAGTTGAACACTTTGAAGCTGTTTTCAGAATGTATCCTTCTGCTTGGGTACATATCTCTAATACAGATTGTAGTATTGATACAATTCAGTAAGAATCCACTAATTGATATGTTCTGACAAGAAGAATGTGCTCAACAATAAGTATTAATAGTTCAGATAGATGCATTTTACTGTAGTTTATTTAGGCCAAGAAAATTTGGAAAATATCTAGATTTGGAAGCTGCACAAATCTTATAAAATTGCTTGTCAGATAAGGTTTCATCTCACTATCTGCTTACAAACATTTAATACTTGACTATATTAAACCGTTTCCCCTTTAATTTTGCAACAGGCAGATCTGAAATGCCAGTTGGGTGATGCTGGCTATATAGTATTTGGAATAATCTTGTTTGTGTGGGAACTTCTCCCCACTTCCTTGGTGGTGTTTTTCTTCCGTGTTCGAAATCCTACAAAAGACCTAGTAAGTTATACCTATGTCTTAATATTTACTTATTATAAAGGAAATGACTTTTCTAAGAATAAATTAACTGTTGCAAAACCTAAGTCAGCATTTTTTTATTTGCTTTTAAAATATCATTGTGGTCATAACACCTTAATAAATAGTAGTCTGAGAGTCAATAAATTCTCAGAGGTTTATTTATTGCATCACTCCCACCCTGTGAAATAAGTATTTTCTACCTGCCAATTTTCTATCAAACTCAAGCTAGAAGCCTATTCTTTCATACAATTGCCTAGGGAAGCTTACATGCTCTTCTCAGAGAAAAGTGACTCAAAATGGGAACTGAATAATTATTCATTTTCTTTTTTGTTACTGTTTGCCACCTTCAATAAGCTAATATATTATTTCTTCTTCTCTTATTATGAACATATCTGAACAAGCTTGTGTGTGTGTGTGTTAGTATTTATCTCTAACATCAGTTTGAACTTTTCAAATGCCAACTTTAAAATCTAGGCAACACATATTATATCTTTCTTGGTGATTTGTCTCTGATTGCACTTTGTGTGTATATAATTTTCAAACTTTCATTCAGCTTTTGGTTAAAATTTTTTCTTTTTTCTCTTTTTCTAATTACAAGTAATACTTGACTTATGACAATTCAGCCCAAAATTTCTTTTGCTAAATGAGATAGTTGTTAAGTGAGTTTTGCCCTATTTTATGACCTTCTTGCCACAGTTGTTAAGTGAATCACTGCAGTTATTAAGTTAGTACGATGGTTGATAAGTGAATCTGGCTTCTCCATTGACTTTGCTTGTCAGATCACAAAAGATGATCACATGACCACATGACATTGCAATCGTCATATATATGGGTCAGTTGCCAAGCATCTGAATTTTGATCATGTGACTAAGGGGGTTCTGCAATAGTCATAAATCACTTTTTTCAATGCTGTTGTAACTTTGAATAGTCACTAAATGAACTGTTATAAGTCAAGGACTACCTGTATTGGTATTTTAGTTCTTGTTCAATTTGCTCCATTTGCAACAAGACTTTAATATTAAATAATTAATTTAAGATCAAAACCTTTTAAGATAGTGTTGATGCAAGTCACTGATTTTTTAAAATGTTAGTCAACTTTATATAAAATTGTAATGCAGATATCCTAAATTGTAATTAATATTGGATTGAATACCTTCTTTTCTTCTCTATTTTCTATATTGTTATCTAAAGAATAGAATGTCAATAATATTTAAGTATATTATAGAAAAATCATTATATTGAAATAATACATTATATCAAGATTTATTGTAACAAGGGGAAAAAAGAAGTTGAAGCCACTCATAGCAGCGTCATTTGTTCCTATATGATGAATTTTGGCAGTGCACCATTACATTCCTAATCTGTGCTTCTGGAAGATTTGGGAATTTGACTAGAAGTCTTCCAAGATCCCTTCCAATCCTTTGATTCTATGACTCTAAAATAATACATTTTAAAAGGCATCCTATTCATCTAGTGCCCATTACCTTTGGTTCTTTGTCATAGCTAATCACAATTACAATTCTCTTTATCCATTTGCAGGTATCAATTCCATTTGTTCTGCTCTGAAGTGCTCCTATCTCTCATATATTGTTCATCATGGTCTCCCACTGTAACAGCATTCTTGATGGTCTTAAAGCTCTTCTTAAATTCTATCAGCACAGAACATCTTGCTTCTGGTTCATCAGTGTTTTCTACAGAGTAAGGTCCCCTTCACTCCTTTGCTTTTGGCATATCACCCCCACCCCCATGTCATTTCTTGCTGCCACTTTTGCTTAATCTAAGAAAAGTTTTATCTTTTCTGAGTTGGAATACAGCCACTCACTGCTCTAATCCTCTACTTCTTTTTTTCCCTAGCATTGTAGTAAAGTTGCACATGCATGCTTTATTTTCTGCCAAGGATACAAACATATCAGAAGCATTGCTGGTAAACTGTGAGGTAACTAAACTCTGTCCATTTTCAGCTTCAGTTAGAAGGACTGTAAAAAAAATTGCAGCTAAAATTCTTTTATAGCTCTTCTGTAAAATTCCCATTTTCCATTTGCTCGCTCATTCATATTCATCAGCCTCTGTATTCATTGAATTTATATTCATTAGTTTTCCATTCCATTCATCTGTTTCTGCTTACTCAGCAGCAATTAATAATCAGCAATTCTCAAGGCAAACTCTTTATAATTAGCAGCTATACAAAAATGTTTCTTTCACTTCTCATAATTGAGGATGTAGTAATTCATAGCTTCTTTGACATTTCTCCCTTCAGTTCAACCTCGCTCCTAATTTTTGTTAATTTTCCTTGATTACTTAGGGAACTTGAGCTCTAGAAACTATCTATCTTATATTATTTGTACAATCTCTGTTGCACAATATTGTTTGTACGATTTGTCAGAAACAAAACATTAGGGATGTACATACTGTATAAATATATGGAGATATCTATGCAATCTCAACATGCCGTGTTTTACTACCAGAAAACCAACTGTCAACAGAAAATTCTTCTCTAGTTTTCTTAAATTAGCAATATTACATATTCTGGCAGTAAGCTACCAGAAGGTGTAATAGTTTAAAAGAATACTTATCTGCATAAACAAATGTTTATATGGGAAAGGAAAAAAATCTTTAAATTAATAGAAGATGTAGGCTAATGTTTGATTTCTATCAATGTAACTTTGCAACGGAAACAATTTTCACTGAGGGTTTTTTTTTCATTATTCTGTTTTGCTATCCCCATAAATCTGTCAAAGTTTCATCTGCAAATAACATAAACCTCACCATTAGTAACACATTCTAAAGAAAGCTAAATATACATTGAATCAAAGTTTTATCTAAAAACAAAATAAGATAATCTTAAACTAACCAACATACCAGAATGTCACTGAAAAGATACACTGTTATATATAATTTTGTATATGGGACAGATAAAGGATTTTATTGATATTATGCATGAACTAATCACTGATGTGGATTTTTATTTGAAGTTATATATTCAATTTGTAACATCAGAAGTCTAACAGCAAGTGATTGATAGATCTAATGACAAATGAAATGAAGAAAAAATATATCCGTGAAAAAGAGGAAGTGATTATTTTGAAATTCAATGTAAATCAGACCATTCCTCAAACTGACTGGTAGAAAATTTTATTTGAGAAGTTGAACAGTCAAAGCAATTGAATTACTAAGAAAAAAATTGGAAAGGCTCCTTCCAAACATAAAATATTTTCTACTACGGGAAGAATAATTGATCATTTATATGTAAAGCATAATGTACAGGACCCCTAAAACATTTTGTTACTTGTAGCTGTTTAGAGATAGCTTTAAAAATCCTGCTGGATCTTAAAAATTACTCTCAGAATAGCAAGAGTTCCTTATCCTCCTTTTGCCTTGAAAAAAAAAAATTCAAACTATAGACTAGTCAGTCTGACGTTGATACTAGGAGAACTCTAGAGCAAATGTTAAAGGGATTATCTGTTACTATCTTAGAACAATGTGATAGTTATCAGAAATAAACACAGATTTGTCAAGAGTCTTGCCAGAACAATCTGATCTTGCTGTTGACTATATAACTTCTGTAAGATTGTTAGCCTATCTTAACATTAGCAAAATATTTGATAAAGTCCCACATGTCATGCTGATTAGTAAGGCTGTTTGGTATATGTGGTGTATGGCATGACAATAAGTGGCCTAGTGTGAAAATTATATTCAGAGTAAACTCAAGGATTTATCATACTGCTGACAGTTATCAAAAGGAATGCCACAAAAACCAGTCCTGGGTCCTCTAATCTTAGTTTTTTTTAAATAATTGCTTGTTTGAAGCAGATGGTATGCATATTAAATCTTCTGATAATATCCGAAGGGTATTATAGAGGGTAGCTAATATACCAGAAGACCAGATTATCATTCAACATTAGTTTGATAGCTTGTAGGCTGAAAGTAACAGTAAAATATAACAGAAGGCAAGTAGAAAGATCATCACTTATGAAACAATCATTATATGCACAGGCTATAAAACACTACTTGTGAAAAAGATCTTGGAAAAATAATTGATTGCACAGCAGCTGTATGAGATTCCTACAAAAAAAGGAAAATGTAATTTCAGACTTATATTTCTGCATTGACAGAAGTGTAACCCCCAAGTCATGGGAATTAATGTTTTACTGTATTCTTCTTTGGCAAGACCTGACTTCAAATGATAGTTTTATTCCAACATCTAAAAAAAAGTCAGATTAGAAAATCAAGGCCTGTACTTTCTTATTCCAGAATGCAGGATAAACGAATGGGTTTAAGTTACAGAAAGGCAGAATTCAACTGAATATTAGAGGATAACCATAAGAGCAACAGTAGAACCAGTAACCCAGAGGGATCATGGACTTCCAAACTATGGATAATTCATGGGAAAACAATAACCATCTATCAAGGATGCTTCAGTTTGGATTTTTGTACTGATTAGGGGTTGATCTAAATGTCCCCTTCTAATATATGATTCTAAGTATTTACATTTTTCTTTTTTAAAAGAAATCAAAGAACAAATTTCTACAACAACAAATAGCTTCAATTATAAATAACTTTTCTTTTTTCTCCAGACAAATCCAGGAATAGTACCAACCCATGCTTTTAACCCAAGAACTTATTTCTTTGACAATCCTCGCAGATATGACAGTGATGATGATTTGGCATGGAGCATATCACCACATGGCATATATGGCAGGTAGGACAAACATATGTGTATAGATCTTGCAAAAGAATGGCATAACTTTACAAAGAGCTTCAGGGTCCTAGAAAAATGCAAAAAAAAAAAGTAGGCAGGTAGTGTTTTGACTAGAACAACTGGTGAAACGGATAACCACATTCTTTAAAAAATCCCATTACGAGTGGACTAATCAATTACACAAGTAAACAGACTTGTGACACAGACTGATATTTTGTTTACAATAATCATGCATATCTTACAGTCAATTACCATAGCATATTATATGCAGCACAGTATACTTTCCTTAGGTTTATATAACTTTAACCTTGTATGTGTATACCACAGAAAAATCTTGGGGGGAAGGGTTTACACTTTCCATCAATAAATCATACAGTTTAGAAGAAGAAAATGAATTACTTCACCAATGAACCAATCTACACAAAGAACTGAAAAGTCTTCAACCTTACAGGTTATGATTTTTTTTGCTTTAATTTATATGCCGCCCTTCTCCGGAGACTCAGGGCGGCTTACAATGCGTTAAGTAATAGCCTTCATACTTTTGTATATTTATACAAAGTCAGTTTATTGCCCCCACAATCTGGGTCCTCATTTCACCTACCTTTGAAAGGATGGAAGGCTGAGTCAACCTTGAGCCTGGTGAGATTTGAACTTGCAATAAGTGCAAGCAGCAGATGTTAATAATAGTGCTTTAGTCCACTGTACTACAGGCTCTTACTGAATGTTGCAAACATACATCATCAATAAACAAAATACCTTTGGTACTATTCCTTCTTTGTTAATAAAAATGCCTTTTGTATAAATTAAAACTGTACATAATTGAAAATTCTTAAAGTGAAATTTTTCGTGTCCTGGATTAACAGCTATGTATAAAATTTAGGCCAAGCAAATGTCTAGTCAGATGCACTTAGAATTTATTCCAGGAACAGGACTAAAGCAAACAGGTCTATGCAGTCAGAATATGATCAGTAAAATGCATCTGAAGAGCTTTATAAAATTGCATAACTTGAAACACTGCTAAACTTTCACTTTTTTTCACAAAGTCCATTGTTTTTATCTTCTAGCTTCTCTCCTGAATCCTATGACTGGGGATATCTAAATAACAGCTTAATGGTTCAAGTTGGATCCCTGCAACATGATTTCATATCAGATTCTCAGCGACGAAGTCCAATATAACAACAGACCAATGATACTCCCTCCCCTTCATTCAACTTTAGTAAGAAGGGTTGTTTTGCAAGGACTTACATACTTAAATTATGTACAAAAGAACTGAGTCTGAGTTTATATTGTTAAAAATATTTGAGTTTTAAAGATTTGAGTTGCTGAAAAAAATCTTGTTTTCTATATTTACAATTTAGAAAAATGGTTTGAAAAACTCTAAATTTTGAAAAAAGTCAAATATTTAAAATGTGAATATGTATAGACCTGGTAGTGTTTAAAATTTTAATTTAATTGTACAATATAATGCCCAGTGAAACGTATGTTGATAGGAGTTTTTGACCTGTATTAACATGCAAATTTAACTATTTAAAATATATTATTAGTTTTAGTAAATTGGTCATTAAAATAATTTTGTATGCATTTACTCATGCATGAGTGAGGGTGACAAACAGATTGAAAGAACTGTTTTGTCCCACTAAGATTGTCTATGTTTTATTTCGACTTCCTGTCCTCTTTGATTATACCAGGAAGCTACTAACTTTAAAAAACAAAGAAGAATTTGCCCTGAGATACAGTTTATAGTTGTGTCAGCTTTAGCAGTCCATATAATAAATTGGAATTTACAGTATTGACTTGTCATGGCCAGATTTTCTCTAAAACAGTGTACGTAAAATTTTTATTTGCATGCGTACTTTGATTCCAGACTACATTTCTGAATTTTCTTCACTTTGGACATTCATTTGTAAGGAAAAACAATCCAAACTATCTATTCTTTTTCAAAATAGAGCTAAGTGTGTACTTACTACTTTCTCTCCTCCCATAGTCAGTCTACAAGCTTGTGACTCATCCAACAAAACACACCTTTGTGCGCATGCCATATGTAATGTGTATGCAAATCTAAATATTTTATGAAAAATGTTTATACAGGTGGTCCTCAACTTTCAACCATTCATTTACTGATCATTTAAAATTTCAATGGCACTGAAGAAAAGTGATTATGATTGTTTTTTACGCTTTATGACCATTGCAGCATCTCATGTAATCAAAATGGTCATGTAATCAAAATTTGGACCCTGGACAACTGGCATTTATTTGTGACGGCTGCAGTGTCCCACAGTCATGTGATCACTTTTTGCAAAGACAGTGAGAAAGCCAAATTCACTTAATAACAGTTTTACTAACTGAACAACTGCAGCGATTCATTTAATAACTATGCAAGAAAGGTCATAAAATGTGGCAAAACTCACCTGTCTTGCTTAGCAATGGAAATTTTGGGGATTTCCTGTATATTATTTATTTTAAAATTCCCAAAGCCTAAAGGCAGAAATACTTGCCCATGTGTTCAATCCTAGATGACAATTGCAATCTCCCAGATCCAAGAAAGCCTTTTCCTGGTGGGGTTAAATTGTGACCTCTTTAAGGACAACCAGGAGCATGTCCTAATGCAAAGAAGCTTTCCCCCAACCTTGAACCCATCAGTTAATCCTTTTAAGCTAATTTAAAGTAGCCATGATGGGAAAGAGGCAAGACAACAAACGATAGGACAAACCACCACAAGTGTCTGGGTAGCAAACTGCATCTCAAAATGCTCTGCAAATTTCTTGTAACAAGTTGCTGAAAGTTGTAAAAGAATAGTTCCCAGGGCAGACGACATGAAACCCAAAACAAAATCTAACAAATAAAACACACACACACACACACACACACACACACACACACACACACACATCAGAAACAATACTTTACTGAAGACTACAATGACTTAGGACTGAAATTTCAGAGTCTATTGTGGTTGTAAATTGAGGACTACCTTTAAAAGAAATTCTCTTTATTGCCCTCAGTCACACAGGAAGTATTTTAGTGTATCATGTTGTACATATGACCAGCTTTAAAGAGTTCTTTGCAAATGGTATTCTAACTGGAACCTGATAGGCTTCATTGTTTAGAATCCTCTGGAAAACCTGTGGACATCCCATACTCCATAGCATCTAAAGACATTCATAGATGACTGTGCTGCATCTTGTCTTTCCACAGATACTCGACAATGTTACTAATTCTAATTATTGTATAGTTCCACAGCCCAAAAGGAATTAGTCAACACAGGATTATCAAGTCTTTGCTGGGCTAGAAAACTAATCTAGATATTTGAGAACAAATTATACTGTATTGTTGATTTTGTATTATATAAATTTCTCATTTCCTGTCCCAAATAAAATTGTAGTTAAGGATTGTACTTAATAAAATTTGCCCTTATGACCGACAGCAGAGACACTGCCACCTACCCACCTATTATTCTCCCATCCTGCCTTGCTAGGTCCTAAGAGGCACTGGGCCTGTTTTGCCATCATACTGGGTTACATGCACTCCTCCCCATCCCCACTCCCCTATCTCCATTCACTTACTTACCTTTTGACAAGCTCAAGAAATCAGGGTAGAGAAGGCTGCTCCCTCACTGGGTCACATGGCACAATCAAGAAGAAGAAATCTTGTCACTTTTGCTTCCATTGCAATCCTTTCCTCTCCAGCCTGCATAAACCACTACGATTTCTTCTTAGCTTCCCCAGAGTGAGACTAGCATAAAGCTAGTTTATAGTGGCTGGAGAGGACAGGCTTGCAATGAATCAAAGTAGGCATGGTTTCTTTTCAGTGCCGCCAGCTCTAGCTTTACGCTTTTTTTTTTCCTTTTGTTAAGTCTTTTGCTAAGAAGAAATTGCGTTGGTTTATACTGGCTGGAGAGGAAAGGATTGCAATGGAAGCAAAAGTGACAAGAATTCTTTTTGATTGGCCCACCTGGCCCACCGAGGGAGCAGCCTTGGTGGCCTTTACATTAGCAGGAATGGGGACAATCAAGTTTAGAAAGTGTAGCATCTAAAGTTATGACTATTATTGTTCCTCAGTTAAGTTAAATGGAATGGAAAGAAACTTCTTTTGTCCGTTTCTTTCTATTGTTAATCAGAATAATAAGAGTAACAGAAAGCAACAATCTTAATTGCGGCTGAATTCAGCGGCTTGGAAATTCTTGTTTCTATATGGCAAATTCAAGGACTTCTTTCAAATCTGTATACTACTGAATAAAAACTCATGTTGTCTATTACATACAACTAGCTATTTTTGAAAAACTGCATTATTTCTTTCAACAAAAAGAACAGCTGAGCTGACAAAGACATAACTAAAGAGATGCTTTGAACTCTCAAATGAGACTCAGAATTCCAGAGGTAATTGTAGCACTTCTTGTGTTTTGGCCACATTTTAGCAATTAAATTCCTTATTCAATATGAAAGCAATTCAATAGTCAAGAAGTCTGAAAACTAATGACTACAACAACAAAATTATTTTCTACTTATAATTTCATTTCTGTTTTTTGGTAGTTCATTTCTGTATTTTTAACCAATTAAATAAATAGTAGCCTTCACAATCTTGCATGTACACAAACGTCCTGAGTAATGTACTCCTGTAACCTTATTCATAGGATCTTGACTTAGAATCAACATCTACCTTAGCACAAGATACACATGAAGTGAAGTCTGCTGGCTTCTTCCATAAAAATATCAGCATAAGTTAGTGAACAAGACAAAGTAATACTTCTAAAATAGATATTTCATTAAACTTATATTTAGCATAAAGAGAGAGAAAATATTTTGCTTACCTTGGCCTTTTTTTAAAGGGAGTGATTTAAAAAAAGCTGAAAGGATTCATGTCCATGTGACTTGAGTTTCAGGAAGCACACACCAAGGAAGAACTGAAGTTATAAGAACCTTGCATATGGGTTCCATGCTAACTCAGCATTATTTACCATTTGGAACATCAATTTCCATTCAAAAGACATTAAAAATAGAAAAATTACAGATCACATGCTTTAAAAATTTGCCCACAAATTCTGAAGCTCTTAGTCTATTCAAATCTCCTTCAGCATTTTGAGAATGGGGGCCATTTATTTACTCCTGCAATGGCAGCACACTAGACTATTTTGAATTTTTCTTTGGATTAGCTATCCATTATCCTTTGGATTAGTTATTGGGAAAAGGCATGAGAAATGGATGAATTCACAAAAATAATCTCCATTCCATTGGACAAAATCTTATGTCTGATTCGTTACAAATTGGATGCAATAAAGCTAATTGATAAGAAACAGATCTTAACAAGTAACAGATCTTGCCAGTAACATTAAATTATACGGCCCATAGCAGTTTCCTTAGTTTCAGAATCTGTTACCACAAGACTATTCCTTTCTATCATATTTGTAAAGCTCTGAACTGAATGCAATCTTTAGAATAAGGCCCATTATCTATTGATTTCAATAAACAATGAAGTCTTAAATTATAAGGACAAAACATTACAGTTTTTCTCATTTAGTTATCACTGGAGACTTTCATATATGTGGAAAAATATATAGCTGAGAATCTTCATTTTTAAAAACTTAAACCGCAAAGTTATGGAATTATGTTGCGTAAAGCATGCAGTATAAATACATACACACACACAACAGCAGCAGACATGTCTTAAATTAGAAGATTTTAAGAGCACTTTAATTTTGTAAAGACTGTTTTACTTATCAAAGCAAAGCAAAATATGTACAAATCTGTATATTGTACTTAAACTGACATTCATTCCCTCACAGAATACAAATATTACATTACAAACAGTTTTTAAATAAGGTGCTCCTTTACAATTTATAGACTTCTTCCTACTGCAGATTAAGAATTTAAATGTTTATTACCCGCAACAGTTCTCTGATAACTAGATCCCCCTTTGTAGATAAAGATTTAGGAACAAATGTATAGAATATCCATTTTATTAGAGACTATATTTTTAACGGTGTAATTAGAGATTGCATAGATAGAATGTGCTCTGTTGAATTCTGGAAGTGACTTTTTCTTTTTAAAAAAGTGGACATTTGTCTGTGAAAATATTTAGTTTTATTTTTTATTGTATTTGACTAGAAGAGCACCAGAATAAGAGGAATTTGTAAGGTTTTTGAAATGGAAGATTAAGGTCTATGACTCTAAAGTTTGAGCTGAATTTTTTAAGCTAGCAGCAGTTAATGGGAAAAGCCTTTCATTATCCACTCAGAATAAAAACTGATAAAAGTAATTTAATCCAGTTTTGTCTCCTCACAGAAAAGAAAATGTGCTGTAGAAAAATGAAATAAAAAAGGAAAGGAGAAGAGAAGAGGGCAAGGAGGCAAAAATAATAAAAATAACTTGAGATTCCCCAATAACTAGTTCCCCTGGATGCCAAGGGGCTTATTTTAGTAAAATATTTACTGGCCATGACAGAGACTGTAACAAACAAATGAAATACAAATGCAAGAAAACATTTTTCTTACATATCAATTTCTCCAAATAAACATTAAAAAGCCGCATTTCCACCAGGTATTTTTTAGAAGAATCTTTTCCATGTGAGCAATGCAGGCTGGATGAGGTTCCTGCATGGTGATGTAAAGCAAGAGAGGCAACAGTTCTTTTGAATGATGATGAAACAAAAGTAGTAGAGACTAAGAATAGTGAAACAGTTGAAAACAAACATAATTTACATAATTAAAGCCAGGTATTTTATCCATAAATATTTTGTCCAATGTAACCTTTTCTATTTTAAATATTCAAGTTGGAATTATATATATTCTTGCCTTTCTAGAACAGTCTTGTATGAAGATTGGCTTCCTTTTGCCTGGTGTTAAATTAGTGGCTTCTTCTACCAGTAGGTACAAAGCCGTCGTTAACTTTTTTGTTGCAGTAAGACTTTGAAATTCTGTAGCTCTCGTATACTTGTAGAAAGTCTGTGAAGAAGAGAAGGGAAGAAGGATCAAGTCTACAGAAGTTCAGTATTAAAAGAAGGAAGCTCTTCCTGCATGAAACACCAACTTGAATTTTAGATCAAATCAGCAATTTGATTGAAAACTTAGTACTGCAGTTCATTAAAATAATTATCTCATCCACCTTCAACACTATGTGTGTGTCTGATGAACTTAAAGTCTAGAATTATTTAATTTGACTAAAGTGGACTAGATTCCCTTTTATCGTGAATGTTGGCACTGTGTAAGTTACTGTGAGAGGACATTATAGCTTTTAGAGAAAATACAGGTAGTCCTGACTTAACAACTGGCATCTTAACAATTGCTTGAAGCTACAATAGACTGAAAAACAGTTACAAACTTGTTTTCAAAGTTGCGACTGAGGTACTAACCCCCCCATTGTCACATGACTGTGTTTTAGATATTTGGCTACCACCATTTCCAGCATACCACAGTCACGTGACTCTGATTTGCAACAACTTTTATGGATTTCAGCAGAAAACAACAAAAAACACCCATTGATATGCTGGATTTGCTAAATGACCACATGATTCGCTTAACAACCATGGAGATTAGCTTAACAACTGTCATAAAGATTATCATAAAATTGAATCAAATTAATAATTGCAATGATTTGTGACCAGAATTCTGGACTTAATTGCTGTCATAAGCTGAGGACTACTTGTACATACATATTTTTAAAGTCCATATCACATGAAGAAAAAGCCCAGCCTATCGCTACATAGCTATAACAAATTTCAAGTGTAATTTACCTTCCAAATGCATTCAGAAGAGCAACTATTTCTTGCCGTGTCAATTGAAAACCTTTGAATGGACTGTTCTCAGAAAGATTCTTTATTTCTTTTTCGGAGAATAAGATTTTCAAAGCAGTTCCTAAACCTTGAGTCTGAAAGAGAACCAATATATTAAATAGCAAGAGTACAATATACATTAACAGCTTTGGGCATTTCTACGTTTATTTTTGGGTAGACCTTATATTAGGAGCACACTTAAAAATCAGGCTAGGGCTTATTTTCTGGTTAGGTCTAATTTGGGGGGAAACACGGTATAAGTAAGTGCTATTGCTATACAGTATTTTAATATAAATATTGAATAATATTTGCATATTAGGGTATGTATTCTTACTATACAGAAATTGTATTCTATAATTGGTGAAATGACATGTACAATTTGAATAGCTTGATTGTCATAATATAGCAAATGTGAAATATCTGCCTTTGTAGTAAAGCTAAAATTTATCATATTGATATTAACTGGCCTTAGAGATGCAAAGTATAGGAAATAGTTTACCTGGTGTGAGAAATTGTTTTGCTATGTAAGAATGTTAGCCTTAAAACATGAAAAAAAAAATCACATACCTGTAATTTTCCCCATAACCGACATTTATCACATCCAACACAATCCATTATGCGAGATATGTTCTTGAAATGCAATCTGAATTCTTCCTACCAATACAGAAAAACATGTTTAAAACTTTTTATAATGGCATTAGTGATTCTAAAGATGGTGGGCCAACACTCTCTTCTCTCAGTGTTTCTCTACTTCCTAATTTTCTGCATCGTTTTCATTTTAGAGGTAACCAATTCTTCAAACTAATTAGTTCAAACCATAGTTTGCAACCACTTTTAATCTGATGGCAAGCTGACTGAATGTATCCATAGTTATTCTATAAATTCTATGTCAGTTTCACTAAGTACTATTGGCTTTGAAAAAGGTATCTTGTCAAAAGGATGAAATGAACATTGCAGTGGTGAAATTCTGCACCTTTTGTACATGTGTGCAACAACATATCTAAAAAAGAGGTGGAATATGCACTGGAATGACATAACTTGTTCCATCATTTGATCTCCGCCCCTGGATGCTTCTGCTCCTGGTGTTTCTTTCATATTCTCATAAAAAGAAAAAGTTTCATTTTTTTCATGTAGTAAAGTAGCTTATGAATTGGCATTTAACATAAAGCTATAAAGTATAGCTGTAAACCAACAGTAGAAATACAAAGATGGCTCAACATTATGCAAGTAGATAGCATGACAAGAGATTCTGATTAATGTATCTTACATTAATCGAATATCTCACATTCTAATGACTTGCTTGCTACTCTTCTGAAATATTACTCGTAAGAACTTAAAAGTAGCTTGATGTTTACTGATGATGTTGCCTCAGATATAAAGCAAAATAATCAAATGCACACACAAAAACAAAGAAACATGATTTAATCTAATTGAAAATGTCTTTCATTTGTACATATAAATTGTCAATGTAAAAACTATGTTTACCTTTAAAGATCTGGCTTCCTTTTTGTTTCCAGAAAACATGGACTTTTCATCAAAATGCATAGGAAAGGACCTAGATAAATTTTGATAATGAATTAGACTTATTTAACGAAACTGTTTGGATACTACTAATAATGCTCCACTTTCTAAAATTACTTGAAATATCTACAGTACCTAAAATGTTTACAATATAGCTCAAGAGCCAAAATATATATTACAGGCATTCCTAGTTACATGGTTTGTCCAACTCTATAAGCAATGCAGAAATGTTATTTTAATGTTTTTTTTCTCAAAGGATTCTTAATAAATATCCCAAAAGAAATAATAACATGAAACACTTCATTACATAGCAGTTTTAGCCACAATTCTCAATTTTGTCTTTCTTGCCAACTCTTTTATAAAACTCTTCCTTTTCTTATCTGGATGTAATGTCTTGTGGGTTTTGTAGTATGTCACTATATCCTTCCCCTTGCTAAATAGAAATAAACAAACAATTATAAATTAACTTTCTGACAATAGAGAATATTATTATTCAAAAGACATAGAGAGAACTTCATCCAAAACTACATACTGTATGTACATCATGATATCTGACAGGTCTTTTAACAACTCTGCTATTTATAGCTATTGTCCCCAGAATGAATTTGTTAGTCTAACAGAGTAGATTTGACTAAGAAACCAATCCTATAGAGCAGGGGTGTCAAACTCAAGACCTGGAGGCCAGATCTGACCTACAGGGTGCTTAGATCTAGCTTGTGGGGCCACCCTGGAAACAGCAAAGGACTGGCCCACAGTGTCTCTGTCAGTGAAAATGGAGCTCAGGAGGTCCACAAGCTCCGTTTTTGCTGGCAGAGGGTTGCAGGAGGCCGTCACAGCCGAGAACAGAGCTCAGGAGCCCGTTTTCTCTGGCAGAGCTGTCGGGCCACCACAGGTGCCCCCGACATTAGTGATGTCGAGCTGGCCATGCCCACTCTGCCCCCCTGAAGTCAAACATAACTCTGATGTGGCCCTCAATGAAATTGAGTTTGACACCCCTGTTATAGAGGTTAGAACTGCTTTTATTGCAGGGGTGTCAAACTCAAGGCCTGGGGGTTGGATCCGGCCCACAGGGTGCTTAGACCTGGCCTAAGGGCAGCCTTCCTGAGCTCCATTTCCACTGGCAGAGGGTTGCAGGAGGCCATTGCAGCTGAAAATGGAGCATGCGACAGTCACGGGGGCCCTCTTGAGCTCTGTTTTCGCTGACAGAGACTTGCAAGAGGCTGTCACAGCCAAAAACAGAGTTCAGGAGCCTGTTTTTTCTGGCAGAGTGCTCGGGCTGCCACAGGCACCCCACACAAGTGACATTGAGCCAGCCACACTCACCCCAGCCCCCCTGAGTTCAAACACAACCCTGATGTGGCCCTCAATGAAATAGAGTCTGACACCTGTTTTATTGTAATAGGTACAGTAATAGAAACTTGCAAGTCTGATCGTATTTTGTCCTCCCTTACTTTATCTTTGTGTAAATTAGGGATGTGCTTGTTTGAGAGGATTTCTCAACCTCTGAGGGCCGTGTGTGTGTGTGGGTGTGTGGGTGTTGCATAGTGGGCGTGGTCATGGTGGGCGTTTGACACAGGCTCAATTATAGATTGTTGATTGTAGATTAAATGGACCTACAATATGTAAAATCTGGCATTAAACTGTAGTATTAACATAGAATGTTGTTTGTTTTCTATCCAGATCAGGCACTTACTTGAGGCCATATAATTGTTATCCAGTCCAATCCAGTCCTTTTACAGCATTCTGCCGGCCGAAAACAGGCCGTGCAAAGGCCCTGCATGGCCTTGCGCTGCCCATTTTTGGCTGGCAGAGTGCTGTTGGAGGCACGAGAGGCCAAAAACCACATGCTTCCCCTGTGGCCTGTTTTGGCCAGCAGTATTTGGCCAGTAGTATTTGGAAATACCAAATATTTGGCCTCTGCCGGCCTTTGATATTTCCAGGCCAGCCTCCTGGGCCAGATTTAAGCACCCCATGGTTCCGGCCCATGGCCCACCCTGAATCCGGCTCATAGGCCTTGACTTTGACATCCCTGATTTAGACTTATATACTGCTCCATAGTGCTTTACACTACTCTGAGCAGTTTACAAATGTCAGTATATTGCCCCTAACAATCTGGGTCCTCATTTTACCAAACTCGGAAAGGTGGAAGGCTGAGTCAACCTTGATCTAGTCAGGATTGAACTCCTGGCTGTGGGCAGAGTTAGTTTGCAATACTGCATTCTAACCACTGCGCCATCATGGCTCCTACTGAAGTTCACCCAGACCTTCTAGCTTTTTCCACTGAGCTATTGTTCTCTCTGACCCCAACATCCTGTAACCCAAACGGCTCAGCATTCTAAGATGCAGCAGTTGTCCACAAAAACAATATAGTATAACAGATTATTAGTTCACTGAATTCACTTGACATGGCACCCTTCTCAATAATTTGACTTTTCTAATCCAAATACTCCATCTTTGGGATTAACTAATTCAAAGGAAGAATCAAAAAATGCCAAAGGATAAAATAGTGAATATTCTTATATATTGGCTGAATTTATCACCAGCCAGTTTGTCAGGAACCTGAAACTAATTTCCTGTATGTGTTAACCACATGTGTGATTTCAGCATAATGTTTCATTTGGCCCTTTTTGGCCACCTGCATTTCTTCCAGTATCTGTCATAATCCTGATGACTTGGCTATCTGCTTCAATACATTTGACTATGTGATTTAAGACAAGATCAATACTTAAAGCCTTATGTTCCCTTTTCCTTTTGGATTCAAAGAAAACAGGTATTAATTATTTGCACAATTTAAACTGGAGCTGGATACAAAGAAACCCAGCCAACTAGGGCTGATTTAATAAATTATGATTAAACAATAGTTTAATCTGATATGTGAATTCAACCTTATTTTTAGGTCTGTTTTAATAACTTCATTTACCTGCAATTCCCTAAACATCTTCTGAAATCAACTTTATTCAGTTGTCTGTATCTGAATACATAATAAAGGCGGAGAAGAAAAGTACACTTACTTTGTATCTTGGAAGATTTCTAACAAGAGAGACTTGGTTTCTGTATCCTCCTGTGAATTTCCAGTATAAAGGTCCACAATTGAACGCTCAAAGTAGGATGCAACCTTTGACAATGCACGCAGTTCCACCAAGTATAGGAAATATAAATTTTTTAGTCGTCTTGGTCCTTCACTTTTTGTTTCAGTAGGGTCAAAACGATGGGCAAATTCTTTGACATTAGATCCCCAACGAGGTCTTCCCCATGTTTCTGAACAAAGAAAAGCAATGCTTTAAAGTAAATATTGAAATTATTTTTATGGGAATAGTGGAAAAATTAACTTCCCACAATAATAAAAAGAGAGGTGGCAATTTACCTTCAAGTAAATAGTTTGCACAAAGATGTAAGTTGATACTTGCATGAAGTCCTGAAATAAGTTTATAGAATACACGTTTTTCAAGACAAAGCCCTAGATGAGATAAAAATATTGTTAAAACTGAATTAGAAAATAATTCAATAATCCAGTTAGAAAGTATTTTGCTATATAAGTAGTCCTCAACTTACAACAGTTCATTAGTGACCGTTCAAAGTTGCAATGGTACTGAAAAATGTGACTTGTGACCATTTTTCAGAGTTACGACCTTTGTAGCATCCTCATGATCATGTGATTAAAATTCAGATGCTTGGCAACTGACTCATATTTATGACCATCGCTGTGTTCCAAGGTCATGTGCTACCTTTTGTGAGTTTCAGCTGCAGTGATTTTCAATTGTAGCAAGAAAGGTCGTAAAATGGGGTAAAACTCACTTAACAAATGTCTCACTTAAGAACAAAAAATTTGGGCTCAACTGTGGTTGTAAATTGAGAACTACCTGTAATAATTCCACCTTTGGAAATTCTTGAAGAAATCTGAAGTTTTGCTTTTTGAGACTGGCAATATCCCACTGGGATAGATACAAAAGGGAAATTTTGGTCCCTTCAACTTTTGCAATTTATGGAGATGAGTTCTGGAGAACTGATGAGGATTATCTAGAACAGCACAGATAATTGCAGGAAGAATCAGTAAAGATTTCCTCTGTCCATTTCTACTAATTGGATCCCCTAGCATGCTGGTTCTCAACCTGTGGTCTGTGGTCCCCTGGGGGGTCTGTGATGTTATCACAGGGGGTCTGTGAAAGCTTGAAGATTATTTAAATTTTTAGTTAAGTCTGGCCACAAAAGGTATTTAAAGGGGGTCAATAGTGAAGAAAAAGAACCACTGCTCTAGCAGATCAAAAGCTTTCTATGACTGGCAAAATATTTTTCATTCATTCAAAGCTAACCTGAAAAATTAGAGAATAAAGCATTATTTCAAATTCTGCCTTATTCCCACTAATCATTTTCCAAGTTAGAACATCTTATGGAAAGCACATTGCGTTAAAAATGCTAGTGGATCTTTTTCTTTAGCATGCAAAGACCAGAAATGGGTAGTGGCCAGATCTAAGGTTCATTAGAGTTCTGTCACATAATGGAAAACAATAGTTTTGTTTTATATTTAAACCACACAACAAGATGGATCCAAAGTGGGTGAACATTGCCAGATTAGAGAAATTGATCAAAGCAATCCACTGATAAGACATACCTTAAGTATAGGAGATATTGTAATATTTTAGATAATATTTATTTGATTTGAATAATAAAATCAGTACTATTATATTTCATTCAGAAGTGTAGTAATCACTTTACTATTTTTTTCCATTTATATGTGAGTGTGATATGTGGCTCCTATGCAAAATTGAACTAGAGCAGGGATGTCAAACTCACAGTCACGGTGGCATCACGTGACATATCGGGACTTTCCCCCCCTTCACTAAAATGGGTGTGGGCGTGGCCAGCATGTGATGCCTCCGGCCCGCACGCTGGGAGTTTGACAGCCCTGACCTAGAGCTTGGAGGTTAAAAAAAACAGCTGCACAAAGCATTCAAAACAGGTGATTTGCAAAGAAGGTGCTTTGCAAACCTTATTAGATTGAGTGAAACACTGCTGGAAACATCCAGCCAGCCATATCCTTTTAAAGGCTGAAACTTGAAAGCATTATTTCAAATGCTATCCTGGCAGATACATGCAGAGAACTGGGAACAGCCTTCAAAAGAACTGCGCTGGCTGCCATGGTTGCTTTAAGACTTTGAAGAGAGATGTTTTTTCTTCAATTAACATGATTTGCAAGGCATGTCTTTTAAATGTTTTGCAGAGCCCAAAGTAATGGTACATATTAATTTCATCATTGAAAGCATTGTCTTGCAAAATCAACAAGTTTTTTTTTTTAGCTAAAAGGTTGACTGTTACATTTTTTTCCTTGAATGCATTACTTAATCTTTAAATTTCACAGAACTTTCTTATTGCACAGAGAGTTTGCAGTTTTTCATTAGAATTTTGATACAATACTGAATTTACCTTCTAGCCATGTATAAAAAGATTCTCCTGTGAACACAGAAATAATTAATTTCAAACAAGGCCTAGACATATCTAATCAATAAATACTTTGAAAATCTAAATTTGCAGCATATTCCAAAATACATTATCAAACTTATCTAGCCCTTCCATCTAAAAATTTGTGATAAACTGAATCTTGATGTATCACTTCACCGCTGCTCATTTAACATTCTTAAATATTTATTTTTCAAGTTGAAAAAAGGGTTCAGGTGTTTTAAATCTGATTTATGCTTATTTCAAAGCAAGGCATAGTAATAGAATTTATGTAAAGATCCCTGGAATGTAACAGAACATCAGAAAACCTAATCATCATTTTAATCTAGTTTGCTGGACCTCACAAGTTTAATAATGATTCCTAGACAATAACAGAATTAATGGCAATTGTTTATGCATATCACCAATTATTAGTAGCATCTATTAATCATGAGAAAAGGAATAGTAGTCCTAGATAACATTTGTGTTCCAATATAACCAATAAACTTTTGTTAAACTTTTTTTTTCTCTTCCCTACTTTATATCTCTCACTAAAATTTATTCATTAGGTACAGTAGGGTGATGGGAAATCCTGGGGGATTTCCCATTCATTAAGTTTTTTTCCAGAATCTTAAATAATACAGTGAAAGAATATTATGTCACAAAAACTTACCATCATCCTCTCCTGAAAAAAAGTTATAAAAGATAAGTATTATAATTTATTCCATCTTTATTTTTGCACAGAGTATCAAAAATATACTGTGTCTGTTAAAATGATCAGAACTTTCTGATTGTAATTAATGCCAACACTATTTTTCTCAAGAGTTAAAGATTAAAATAATGATATATTTGCCATCCATAACAAAATGGGAAAATACTGGCACAAGATTGTAAAGGATCTCAATTTTTAAAAATGTGTTATTTCTTCTTGCTTTTTGTTACAAGTTATAGGTCACTTTAAAAGAATGTGTTTCACACATCCCAGAATAAAAATATCCAATTAAACAACATGAATTGAGAACAGATGATTGGATGTAATTATTTTTTACTAAATCAGACTAGTTGCATTATTTCGGATACATTTATTATTATTCTTATAAAGAAATGCCTTTCCATTCAAATCGGAATTATTGTTTGCAGAACTGTGGTTTCAGATGTAATTGCTGATTATGCACAGCTATTCTATATAGCTAGGTCTCAATGTGTTTCATTAACTGATGAAAGTATATTTGTCAAGTTGAGTTAAACAAATAGACCAGGGGTATCAAACTCAAGGCCGGCGGCCTGGGTGTGCTTCCCGGGGTGCTTAGATCTGGCCCACGGGCTGCCCTGGAAATAGTGAAGAACTGGCCCGCAGGGCCTCTGCCAGTAAAAACGGAGCCCAAGCTCCATTTTTGCTGGCAGAGGGTTGCAGGAGGCTGTTGCAGCCAAAAACGGAGCTTGGGAACTTGTTTTCGCTGGCAGAGCACTTGGGCTACCACAGATGACCCCGACACAAGTGACATCAAGTTGGCCACGCACACCCCACACCCCAGGTCAAACACAACCCTGATGCAGCCCCCAATGAAATTGAGTTTGACACCCCTGAAATAGACATTAATCTGCTGCCCTGGTAGCGCAGCAGACTAAAGCACTGTTATTAACATCAGCTGCCTGCAATTACTGCAAGTTCAAATTTCACCAGGCTCAAGGTTGACTCAGCCTTCCATCCTTTCTAAGGTAGGTAAAATGAGGACCCAGATTGTGGGGGCAATAAGCTGACTTTGTATAAATATACAAAAGTATGAAGGCTATTGCTTAACGCATTGTAAGCCGTCCTGAGTCTTCGGAGAAGGGTGGCATATAAATCAAATTAAAAAATAAAAAGCTTGGATAGTAATAAAAATGTTAGTGACAATATCTCCAATACCTTCAAACAACAACATCAGCCTACTCCAGGTCCTTGGGAAGAATTTAGCTGGATAAAAATGCAAAATTCAGTCTAAATATTTGGCTGATTGTGCAACAAACCACAATAATGTTTTATTTAACAACTAATATTCAGAATTGATATATTACAATTACAAAGGATTTAATGACTCACCCTTGGTTGGTGCCAGTGGATTTAGAGGGCGATATACAGATCGTGGCCTAATGAGAAAAATATGGTAATTTATGATTTGTCAATTTAAGGAATTTTAAATTTCAATACAAAATAATTTTGCCCTCTATTTTCACTTACTTAAAGCAATTTTCTTCATAGATACTGTTCCATACTCTCCATGCGGAGGGCCCTTTATATCCAGTGTATCGTTCTGGATTCAAGAGCAAATCCACATATTGTGCATCAGGTGATCTCTCATCTAATAACAAAGAAAAACCGTGCTGCTTAATTATGAACTGGAACATGCAACTTGCCAACACATTCAGTATAAGGAGCTGTTTTGATGTAAAAGAGCAAATTACAGCAATAGCGTATAAAAAGCATTTATGAAAAAATTAACATTGTGCATTTTATATTTTTACATTTCAAATGTGTATTGTAAATAAAATTGATATTAAAGGTAAATATGTAAATATTTTTAAATATGAGATATTTTTATTTTATTTTAATTTTTATATACAATTGAACAAAGTACAGATGGTCCTCAACTTACGACCACAATTGACCCCCTAAATTTCTGTTGCTTAGCGAGACATTTGTTAAATACGTTTTGCTCCATTTTATGAACTTTCTTGCCATAGTAACATAATTAAGTTAATCTGGCTGCCCCAGTAATTTTGTTTGTCAGAAGGTCACAAAAGGTGATCATGTGACCCTCCAAGACAATGCAACTGTCATAAATATGAGTAAGTTGCCAAGCATCCGAAATGTTTCTGTATGTACTTTTTCTGTAAGTACTTTTGTAAGTATTCATTAAAATGTTGAAGAATATGCATCTTTGGTTGTATCTTATAGCAGCCCATTTAATACCTTACTTCAATTTTATGAAGACTCATTGATGATCACTTTGAATATAATTTCCAAGCTAGCTTTCCATTCTCTTAATTATTCTGCCAACCAGGTTCCCCTTAGATTAACATACTGGATTAGTAGTGTTTGCAATTAACGTTATACTTAACATTAGCCAAGAAAACAATAAGAGACATTAAGCTCAAGGTTTATTTACATTTGGAGGATTATTACACATGAAACTATTTGTAAGAGTGTTTAACACATTCTGTTTTTAAAGTGTATGGGTATTTATTCTAACTTTGTTTACTTAGTTACACAGTAAAGAAAATATGGCTCAAATTTTACCATCCAATTCACAAAAATGGTCCTGGGAATCATCATATCTGGCCCAGTCAATGAAAGCTTCTTTAGTTTGGTTACTATATGAAAGAGAGATAGAAAAAAATATTAGCTATAGACTGAATGCATTTATTTTTATATCACTCTCAAACTACATAGAAATCAGAGATAAAATTATTAAGATGAGCCTGAAAAAAGTATCTATTATAGTCCCAACAAGCTTTCACAGAAGCTCGTAAAAACAGTAATGATTAAAATTAAATAGATGAAGACAAGATAATAGGAACAGCATAAACACCTATATTATTTTCCATGTAGCAACAAAGTCAGCAACCACTTTCTTATAACTATTTGCAATAACCATTAGAATTGCATAGTTACTGTACAGATGCAGCAGAATTAGATTACATATTCATGCTACATCTGTTGCAATAAATAACTGATTTCTCATTATTGTTGTTCTATAATTTTTTTCTGAACTAATAAAATTAAGAAAGTTTATATCTAAAACTAGAACCATCTGACCAAAGGTAATAAGGAGGTTATGAGTCAAAGTGATATTGAAGTTCATTATCATATATAACACCAGAGTAGTTTTAAGAAATTAAGAGGCAGTCATTTTGTAGAAACTATCAGCTATCTGATGCATGTATTCATCCCATGTATAATTTAAATTGAACTGATACAAATGTTTCAAACAAAAGGTACATCAAATATGAAACTATTTTGTTTCCTCAGAACATAAGGAATAAAAAATATAGAGAACCATTAAATAAGAATTATGTCTTCCACTAATATTGAAAGCATAATTACCTTAATGTACTATTAATTGCACCCAGTTTGTTAGCCTGTTCACAGTCTTCACGTTCTTTGGTATGGTTTGCTATCTTTGAATACTGAAAGACAAAATATGTAATCTTTATATCTCCAATTCCAATATTTTAGATAAATACTTGCCAGTTATTTATCTAAAGTATTACTGGATTCAAAATAGTACTTAATTTTTCAATACATTACTATCTTCTCTTCCAAATCCTGAACTTTCTGTTGCATGTGTTCCCCCAAATCCTTCATTGTACTAAAGAATTATCATAAAACTCTTAGTCCCATAAGTCCCAGACATGAATGTATTTTTTTAAAAAAAATGAAGATTATATAAGGAATTCCCTGAGTTTTTAAAGCACTGCAAAACTGTTTGCAATATTTACTTCAAGAGACTAACATAGCATAGAATAATATAATTACTCCAGTGCTTATAAGCTAAAAATTACATCACGTTATCTTTCAAGCAGTTTCCTATCCTATCCTGTTCTATTTACAATAGTTCTATTTAGTCTCTTGTTACCTTTGAAAACAGAAAAAAAGAGAGGCAGGTGCGGGTGGAAGGAGAACAAAAATATCAACTCTGCTTCTAGGACAAGGAAGCATAATGAAATATATTACTGCCAGCTACAACTTCTTCTCTATTAGAAAAGAAAAGCAATATACAAACAGCAAGAAAAATGCTGGCACTAGTTTTGCACCACTGAGTAACATAGCACAATGTTACATAAGAATTTAGGAGTGTCATGAGACAGCAAACTCTAGGTTTTATACATTTACTATTTGCCATATATGAGAGGGCGGATCAGATTATTTTGAAAGAAATTACTTACTTTGTTAGCACTTTCAGCTTTAATTCCAACTGGAACTTTACTCTAAAATAAATACAAGTAATGTAAGCATTTATCTTTATTTTTTCTCAAGCAATTTTCAACCCTCAAAATAAATGAACTAAAGAAAATTCAGAATTGGAGCCAAACAGTCAGGAAGACTAGTTGTGCATTAATTCCCCAGACAAATAAACTGACTCTTAAGAAACTTTCATTTATGATCTGACAGGTTTTGATGTCTGCATGCTTATTTTAAGGGAGTCAAATTCAACCAAAGGCAAAGATACTTCCCTATAAAATGCTTAAGAAAAAATGATAAATCCAATTAACATTTATATTAGGAATACCTATACTATAGCCAAAGTCTACACAGCATTTATGCAAGAGAATGTGCATTTAAATCATCATTCTGTCACTGACATCCACTTATATAAAATCCCCATAGTAACAATAAACATTATGTTGTCAGCAGAATAGTTAATCTAATAGAAGAGAATATATGTAGCTCAGGATTGAACTGTGGAGTTCTTCATACTCTCTGAGCCTGGTTGTTTGCTTATAGATGTTTCATTACCTACCTAGATATCATCACCAGTGATAGAGAATAGCTTGTTTCAGGTTTCTCCTTTGTTTTGAAACTTACCTCAGGGCAAGGCTCTACATGGCAATCTCTGATAGAGCAATGGCCATCATCAGCCCAGAATGGACATGGTCTTTTCAGATTAACCTTAAAAAACAATTTTTTAAAATCTCATTCATATTCATTTAAGAAGTGTTTTAAAATTATGAGACTAAACAAGCTGAACAAAAAGGGAAAAGGTCATTGGAAATAATTAGATTTTCTGAGAGCTCATTTGTAACAGAGGAAGAAATGCAGCTCATGCCAAAGATCTAGTTCCTCATAGTTATGAATGCATTATCATATCCATTTAAAATTTGAGAGTTATAATCTCCAGCAACAAACTGCTACTTATTGTTGTGTTTCCCTTCAGTCCTTCAGTTATATACACGGTGTATTTCATTAATTCACTAAGAAAAACAATATAATTTTTAAACTAGTTATAGGTTTCAAACTAGTTAGCAGTTACCTTTAAGCAACTTTTGAAAATATCTTGCCTTGAGTGTAATGTTTCCAAATATTATCGATTTCACCCTCAATGGATTTTCATTGCCACAAATGAAGTAATCTTCCAGAATGTGTTAGGCAGCTGCATTTGTTCACAAGCTTCATGCAGCTGCTTTGAAGGTTTTTCCTGCCTATCGCTTTGGGCACATTTACACACAGCCACTTTATAGTATTTTGTTGGCTGCCCCAAAGGGTCATCTGTTCATGCACACCCACAAAACTTGGAAACAGCTCCAAGGAACCTTCCAGGGGATGCAGCTGCTGCCTAAGGAGAGCACTAGCAAATGTGTTGCATAGCCCTAGTCCTCTCTTTCCCCACTGCCTGGACCTCATTTTTTTAAATATTTAAAAAAATGCTCATTTCTTTACATCTTACTCCTTATTTCATTCCTTTCTTTGGAGAATTAAAGCTAGCTTTCAATCAGCTTTATAATAATATGCCATTTTTACTTTACCTTGTAATACCTGAAGTAGTCTCGTTCTTGAAGTTTCTGTATTTTTGGAAAGATCTTAAAATTGTTGAAGTCATCTATGCTTTCTATGTCACATAAGCAGTCATCAAGTAATCCTGTTACCTATGAAAAGAAAAAAAACAGCTAGAAATGTTATTTATGCTAGAGATTTAGGCTGCAAGAAGAAAGAATTAAAAATAGTAAGAGGTATTAGCAATTTAGGTAGGAATTTATTTTAACTGATTCGGTTAAATTATAAAATCTAAAACTAAAAAAAGGGAAGCTACATAGTTTGGTCTCTTTACTTTTAAATAAAAAGAAAATGTTTCACAATTGGTCTTCCCTTTCTTCATTACAACGCATCTGTCAAATGAAACCTGTCTTTATTTGTGTAAACTATCCACAGTACTAAACCACAGTAACTAATTAGTAGCTGTTAGGTCATCGTTTCAAAGAAATTTCCTTACCTAGAGAAACAGAATGACCAAGGGCAGGCAAAAAAGCAGTGCAGGAGTGGGTGCAGGAGTCACTTCCGATATCCTGCCATTTTTCCCATTGAATTTCCTAATGGTAATCTGGGAGGGAGCATCAAATGGCTTGCTGCTGCTGGGTGGGGGAGGGAGGGAAGGAGGGATTGCCAGTGGCTGGGAAACTGTTACACAACACTGAAAATGAAGAACGTGTGACCATGGCATCAGTCCAGCAGCAGTCAGTAGTACTGAAGCAACCATAATTTCCCAAATTTGATTCTGCTGGGAATCAGAAATCTTGGATTTTGGACACATATTGTAAGTTAGTCCATTTTGAAGTAGCTTGGTTCAAAAATTGTTGCCCTATGATACACTCTTTCTCCCAGTTAAAGGTCATGACAATGAGAGTTTTAGTAGTATGTAGATTAATATTTTATACAATGTTTAACTATAAGAAATGAATTCAAAATGTAGCTAAATTTGAAATAAGCAGTATTATGTTAAAATATTTGAAACATTTGTCCTGTTCTTGTACCCCAAACATTAAAAGAATAAAGCACTTATTAGATATCAGTTGGTATGAGCTAATTAGACAAAAATATTTCCAATATGTATGGAAATACTTCAACAATCTCCAGTTATCACATGATTATTATTATTATTATCACATGAAATTTTAAATGCTAAAGCTTAAGTGGAAACTGTACTCAAGAAGAATATCATGGCTGAGACCAGGGGCATTTACAGGTGTCAAAAAGGTTGAAATAGTGGTTACATCTATGTGACTGAGCCATTTTGGATGTGTTGCCCGTTGTAGCCACCATTTTGACTGCCAAAGTTGATGAATATCTACAGAGCTGGCATGAAAACAAATGTGGATCTACTGTTTGATCTCTCATTAATTTGCAAATAGGAAAATAACTCCTTTTGCCTAGCAACAAAATGACCCCTGACATGTTACGCAAAGCATAACATTGTGATAGTAATATAGATAGCTTTAAGGAACAGTGTATTATGTGGGGAAGGATTATTCATTCAATACTTCAAATTCTCAAATAAAGGTGTATGCTGTTGCTTTAGAATGATCCTGTTGGGTAAATATTAGGAAATAAGTAAAGAAAAAAATAGATCTTCCAAGCCTTCTTTCATCTCTAATCTGTAAGTTTTATAGTACTTAAATGATTTTCGGCAGTCGCAACTGTCTGCAGAAGTCCATCTGGTGGCCCAGGTCAAAGCCCATTCATTGCCTCAGTTCTCATCTCTGGGATGAGTGAGGCTCATTGCCTCACTCCTTCCCCTCTCATATGTCGACAGTAAGCTAAACAAAGCCTCTTGCTGTCTCAGACTTGTCTTCCTGTGCCCACGGCCAGCTGGTTCATGGGAATGGATCAGTGACTGAAAACTGGTTCTTTGAAGAGTCATAACCCAAGTAATAATGTGAGTATTAACATACATACAGCAGTCAATACTAAACAGATCCTAAGTGTGGTTACTAACTGTAAGTGCTCATCCTCTGTGCTACATGAGATGAAGTTTTTGCAAATGTAAGCAGGAAATACATTGAGGAATAACTGAAAATGGGATTTCAGGAATGATGAGCATGTTTTTGCTTAGAGGTGTTGCTTGTATGTGATATATAAAATTTTATTTATTATTTATTAAATGTATTTGCCACCCATCTTGTTTTGAAATGATGAAATCATAAATACTATTCAGAGGGTAGTGGCCACAACAGAGGGCACACTTCCTAGGTCCCACAAGATGGCAGCATTTAATTATGGGGACCTAGGACTCACTCACGTTTTTTTATTGTTTAATTTAATTACATTTTCCAAACATTTCATGATGGCAAAAAGTTTGAGAAATGCTAGTCCAACAATCTCTTTAGCTCTGTGTAAGGTTGGCAGGTATGAATTTGGTAGAAGTTCCCAGAATATTTCCAGCTCTATTGAGTATATGGGCAGATTGAGCTAAAACCCTAAGGTGCTTTAATGAACAACCAATAAGAAATAACCACATTCCTTCAAAGCAAGGAAACGTAGCCTTTTTACAAGAAAAAAAATGACTCACTTCCAATTATTCACTGACTAGACTCAAAATAGATAAAAAGTCAATATCTCATATATTATATTATATTATACATATTATATAACGCATATTATATTGGCATCTGCAAGATATACTTGCAGTAATGAACTTGAACTGCTTTAAAAAAGGAGACATATTAATGAAGGCTACTCTTGTTGCCTTCAACAAGAGTAGCCAGAGAATAAAACAGAGAATATTGCACTCAAGGTTTGCTTGTGGTCTCCCTACTGATACACAGATTGAATTGTGACAAAGGAATGGTCTTTGTGTGGTAGATAGGCCTTTGGGTGGTCCACCACAGCTCTTATGTTCTGGAGGAAAAAAATCCCCACTGTGATTAGCATGATTTACCATGAAGATATTCACTTATCAGCTTTTCAAGTAAGCTGCATATGCTTCTGAAGACAGTTTCATGAAAAAATTGATGTATTCTATACAACAAAACTAAAGGCAAATTTAAAGTGCCCTTCACACAATGACTCCTGTGCTGTTTTAAGCAGCTATTATAAAAACTGTGTTTATAAATCTGCATGTCACACAGGTTACATTCAGGAGGGAGATCGTCTCTAGACAATGAACAGACTCTGTGCAATACTATTCATACTTTAACCTGTTTTGGGAATTCATATGCTACATTTCAAGAGCCCTCCCCATCCACAAAGTATTTCTAATAGGAAAGCATGGTTAAAAATAAGTTTCTCAATAACATTCTCAATAGTTTGAGCAGGGCCAGGGGGCTTTATGTAAAAATATTGCATTTTAAGCAAGCATCCTTCACCTTACGTCTGCCTGACTTGGAGAGCTGAGCTTTCTTAGAAGCACCTGTTTCCCCAAAGAGTGAACTGGATCAAACAGCCAGAAAGATGGGGCTGCTCTCACCACCTAGTTCTTTGCTCCCTTGACTTTTAAACAGACCTTTTCGTGACATAATCTGGAGTTTCTACAAAACCCATTGAACTTTTAACAAGATAATAAACATTTAAGCACTCAAAGCTCTCCTTCCTCTATTGAGCAAGCTTTGCACCTCATTCACACAGAAATACAGCCAACCCCTTTCACATAAAGGTCCTTCCTACTCCCTCTTTCTGCTCCTTTCCTTACAGGGTACAATATAATCCTGGCTGACATAATTACAAATCAGCATTAAACACCTGCTAACCTAGAGCAAAGAATCCCCCCCTCCCCGGAAGAGAAGATTTCCAGGAGGTCTCAGCGAGCGAGCAGAGGACGAATCCACTTTCTCTCGCAACTCTCCGATCACAACTCCAGCCGGAAGGTTCCGACACCCCAAGGCACTCCAAATCCCCCCCTATGGCTGTTTCCTACACACACACACCCCACGAACTCCCTTCCCCAACGGGCGACTCCGCTCACCTGGGCCTCTATCGCACACCAAAGGCAGCCAAGAATCACCGCTGCCAGCAAGAACTGCGCCGCCCGATCCTTCTCCGCTGCAGTTCTCCGGACGATTCCACTGCTGCTCATGCTGCAGAAGCCGTTTGCCGGATGTCCTGGGGGGCCCCTGCCCCGCGCCGCCGCCTTTGGGCAGCCAGGAGTACGGGATGTCCGCCAGCACCACTGGCGGGGATGCCTTCCAAGTCCCGATCCCCCACTCTGCCGGGAAAGGGACCTGTCAGGCGAGCGGGTGGATGCGCTCACCTCCTCCAGCCGCCGCCGCCGCCGCCGCCCTAGCTCCTTTCCCGGTGCCAGCCCTCTCTCTCTCACACACACACACACACACTGCGAAGGGAGAGTAGACGCGCGCTTCCCCTGCAAGCGCTTTCCTTTACATAGGAGGAGGAGGAGGAGGAGCAGTAAGCAGCAGCAATCACAGAGTTTCGTCCGCGCAAAGCTTTTTGGGAAACGTAGTACACCAACCATCTCTCTTCACGTCGGCTTATGTTTCGGTCTCCACAGTAGTGTACTCGAATGACGAAAAAGGAGGGGCGGAGAGAGTGGCCAATAGGAAAGAACCACGCGCACCTTCAAAACAAGAGGAGGCAGTTTATAACCGTCAACAGAAGGTAAAAGGTCTCCAGTCTAGAGGGATTTTTTGGGGGGCGGGGGCGGGGTTTGCTCTCGCGGGAAAGGCTAGGTAGTCATTATCTTTGGGGAAACGTTTTTTGTGCAATACGATCCTCCTGCCTATTTCTGTAAAACATTCTTTGGCATCAGTATGTAATATGTCACTAGCTTATATAGATGATTTCCTTCTCATGGCTCTTTAGGAATATTTACATATTCTATTAAATTATTTTTCCCAATATTAGGGATTCTATTAACAGACATTCGATTTAATTTTAGAATACTGATAAAATAAAAGAGCTTTTGTGATTATTTTGTGGTTACAAAACACTGGAATAATATCACATCAAAGATGGAAATTCTGTTGCAATTCTGGAATTCTGCAGTTTTTAAAGTTCATGTGTGCACAACAACCAAACACAAGTTAGTGTGCTTAAGGAGGATAATCAAATATGTGGAAATACCTCCTTATGAACTTCCCACTTGTGAGGGTGGAATATAAATTAATAAAATGCCAGTAGTCCTCAATTTACAACTTAGGCACTGAAAAATGTGATTTATGACCATTTTTCACATGAGCATTGCATCATCCTCATGATCATGTGATCAAAATTTGGATGCCTAGTATATATTTATGATGGGGTCATGTGATCACCTTTTGCAACCTTCTGACAAGGAAAGGCAATGGTGAAACTAGAATCACTTAATAACTGTGTTACTAACTTAACTTCTGTAATTCACTTAGCAACTGTGGCAAGAAAGGTCATAAAATGGGGCAAAATTCACCTAACAACTTGTTTTGCTCACAACAGAAATTTTGGACTTAATTGTGGTCTTAAGTTGATGACTACCTACAATTGGTGTAGATGATGGTGTGCAGCTCCAGAAGCTGCCACATAATACTAAATAAAGTTTATATCCTGAAGCAGCCTTAACATGGGTTAGAACCCTATTTGGTGTTTGATTCATTTATGGAGAAAAAGCAAATCTTTTGTATTTTTAAAAAGAAAAAGCTTTTCATAGATGTTCTTTTCCATCCCTTTTCTTAGTGAACCTGAGCATTTGTGTTGGACAAATGCCATGGTGAATTTCTAAATTTATTGTTTGCTTGATTTTGATAGTTTTAAAGGTAACTTCAGATTTTTGCACCTGTTACTTTCCCTATTATACATAAATATTTCCAGACAAGTTATCATTCTAATAGTCTCCCTTTTCTCTGCTATTCTATATGTATTTAACCCTGCAAACACATTTTTCTCAGCCTATTCTTATGCTGTTAAGTCTTTCATCTGGGTTTCCTTACTGCTAGTCTACCATTAAACATTAATTGATTATGCTCTGAATCAATGTTAATTCTTAGCAGCTAAATATAATTTTTTCATGAGAATTTGTCACCATATTTATTTATTCATTGGTTCGATTTATATGCCTCCCTTTTCCGGAGATTCAGAGCGGCTTACAATACGTTAAGCAATAGCCTTCATACTTTTGTATATACCTGCCCCCAGCGGTGTTCTTTTTTATACAAAATCAGCTTATTGCCCCCACAAACCGGGTCCTCATTTTACCTACCTCGAAAGGATGGAAGGCTGAGTCAACCTTGAGCCTGGTGAGATTTGAACTTGCAGTAATTGCAGGCAGCTGGTGTTACTTAACAGTGATTTAGTCTGCTGCGCCACCAAGGCTCTTCCTATTGGTCCTTTGGGTTTTCCAATGGTGCATGCATTAGTGCTACAGCTGAGTTAATGCTAATGTTGTCCTCTTTTCTTCCACCTTTCCTGGCATTACAAATTTGTCAAGAAAGTTCTGTCTTCATATAAGTGTTTAAAGTATAATCTTTGAGGGAGAGCGGCAATACAAAAATGTGAAAAATAAATTTCTGCTTCCAATGAGAACCCTGAGTTGATTTCTTTGATGATCCATTTATTTGTTTTGTTTGCTAACCCTGGAATTATTTGAAGACTTCTTTCACACCGATATTCAAAGGTGTCAATAGACTTTCTGTTCTGTTTCTTCAAAGTCCAGTCTTAAGTACAAAACCATACTGATTCTTCTTTGCAACTACACTTTAAAAATAGATGATACAGATAACAATACAATTTAAGTTACGGGTGTCAAACTTGCGGCATCACATTGCCATGATGTGACATTTCGCAACTTTTTTCCCTTTGTGGAGCTGGGGTAGGCATGGCTTGTGCGTGATATATTTGGCCTGTGGGCCGCCAGTTTGACACCCCTGATTCTAAGTCAAGGGTAGATCATTTCAGAATGACTTCCCTCTTTTTCCTACTTAATAATCACTTACCCAGCAGAGAATAGAGTAGTTAATATCTCAGATATATAGTAACAGAAAACAGAATAACTGAGTTGGAAGGGACCTTGGAATTAGGGGTGGGATTCAAAACTTTTAGCAACCTGATTGCTGGGTGGGTGTGGCCATGGTGTGTGTGGCCTACTCAGCCTGCACCATGGTGGGAGGGGCCTTTTCACCCTCCCCCAGCTCCGGAGGCTTTCTTCCAGGCTCTGGGAAGGCGAAAACGGTCTTCCCTGGGCTCCGGAGGCCCTCCGGAGGCCAGAAATGGGCCTGTTTCCGGACTTCTGGAACTTCCCAGAGGCCCCTTTTTTGCCCTTCCCAGGCTCCAGAGGCTTTTCTTGAGCCTCTGGGAGGCAAAAATGGCCTCCCCTGGCTCTGGATGCCCTTTGGAGGCCAGAAATAGGCCCATTTCTAGACTTCTGGAACTTCTGGGAGGCCCGTTTTTCGCCCTCCCAGAGCCTCTGCACAGGCCCTGCACTTATCTGGCATCCAAAACAGGCCATGTGGAGACTCCTGGGAAGGGCGAGGCTAACCAGTCTTTGCAACTACCGGTTCGGCAAACCAGATGTAAAATTAGCATTTGGCTGAATCTCATCCCTGCTTGGAGGTCTTCTAGTCCAACCCCCTGCTTAGGCAGGAAACCCTACATCACTTCAGACAAATGGTTATCCAATATCTTCTTAAAAACTTCCAGTATTGGAACATTCATAACTTCTGAACGCAAGTTGTTCCACTGATTAATTGTTCTGTCAGGAAATTTCTTCTTAGTTCTAGGTTGTTTCTCTCCTTGATTAGTGTCCATCCATTGCTTCTTGTCCTGGTGCTTTGAAGAATAGCTTGACTCCCTCTTCTTTGTAGCAGCCCCTGAGATATTGGAATACTGCTATCATGTCACTCCTAGTCCTTTCTTTCATTAAATTAGACATACCGCACCTGCATGCATGGGGGGTGGAGCACATGTCTGGGGCTGCATGCATATAGTATTTGGGGGTCCAGGGACGCGTGCACGCATTCGCATATGCGCACACGCTTTAGGCACTCGGTCCGAAAAAGGTTGCTCTAGCACATTGGCCATGGCAAGTACTATGTGTGTGTGTGTGTGCGCGCGCATGTGTGTGTATTCTGTGTCTTCTCTCATAATTCAGGCATTTATTACCCTTTTTCTCTATTGCATGTGGATCCAAAATTCTTATTTTCTTGAATTCTAGAATGTAGACTACTGTGGGATGTTTATGATTATCTCTTTAATAGAGCAAAATGTTGACTGGCCAAGTGGGGGAGTATACAACTATGTTATTAGTTGCAAAGTCATGTCTGACCCATTGCGACCCCATGGACAATGTTCCTCCAGGCCTTCCTATTTTCTACTATCCTCTGGAGTCTATTTAAGCGCCGACTGCTTCAGTGATTCCATCCAGCATTCTCCATGGCAGCATTCTCTGTCATCCCATTCTTCTTTTGCCTTCAATCTTTCCCAGCATTAGGTTCTTCTCCAGTGAGTCCTTCCTTCTCATTAGGTGAATTGAATTGAATTTGAATTTATTAAACTTCTATACCGCCCTTCTCCCAAAGGACTCAGGGCGGTGTTCAGCCATATTAAAACACATATAAACTCACAAAATTTAAAAACAATTTAAAACAAATATATAAAATTTGGCCCACAAGGTTAAAAGCTAACAAACACCCGATTTAAAAAAACTCATTCCAGAGGGCAGGTGCCCCCACAGAGAAGGCTCTCTCCCTGGGTGTCGCCAGTCGACATTGTTTGGCTGACGGCACCCTGAGGAGTCCCTCTCTGTGGGAGCATATTGGCCGGTGGGAGGCTATCGGTGGCAGAAGGCGATCTCGTATATACCCAGGTCCTAAGCCATGGAGCACTTTAAAGGTGGTAACCAACACCTTGAATTGCACCCGGAAGACCACCGGGAGCCAGTGCAGCTCGTGCAGGAGAGGTGTTACATGGGTGCGACGTGTCGTCCCCATAATCACCCACGCGGCCGCATTCTGGACCAGTTGGAGCCTCCGAGTGCTCTTCAAGGGTAGCCCCATGTAGAGAGTGTTACAGTTGTCCAGATGTGACGTGACGAGGGCATGAATGACCGTGCACAAGGCATCCCAGTCCAGAAAGGGACGCAACTGGCGTATCAGGCAAACCTGATAAAAAGCTCCCCTGGCCATGGCCGTCATATGATCTTCGAAAGACAGCCGTGCATCCAGGAGAACACCCAAGTTGCGAACCCTCTCTGAGGTGGCCAAAGTATTTGAGTTTCATCTTCAGGATCTGGCCTTCTAAAAAGCAGTCAGGGTTGATCTCCTCTAGGACTGACCAGTTTGATCACCTTGCAGTCCAAGGGACTCAGGAGTCTTTTTCCAGCACCATAGTTCAAAGGCTTCAATTCTTTGGCACTCAGCTTTTCTTATGGTCCAACTTTCACAGCCATACATTGCAACTGGGAACACCATAGCCCTGACTATAC